CTGGGAGGCAGAGGCAGGCAGATTTCTGAGTTCGAGGCCAGCCTGGTCTACAGAGTGAGTTCCAGGACAGCCAGGACTATACAGAGAAACCCTGTCTCGAAAAAAAAAAAAAAGGTTCTAGTTCACTAAGAAACATTCTGAATAAAGAAGCATATTTTTGCAATTGTCGACGGATATACAGCACAAACATGACAGACGGGGATTCACATGAAATCACAGTCTTAGTCAGCACCCTTTAAAAGTGCACATGTCACAGTGTTGAGCAGTGAGTTACATGGTGGTTTGGTGTCCTGAAGTTAGTTCATGCATGGTGCTCATGAATTCAACAAATAACTTGGCATAGAACTGAGGATAATTTTAAGAGAAAGAATCTAATGGCGTGATGACAGAGGATGGTGGTGGAATGGTCCTAAGATGCAGGAGTAGTGATATGACGACATGGCAGGAAAAGCACTAAGATTAGAAAGACACACATTCTTATTACCCACGGTCGCAGGCACTTCGGTGCTAAGAGCACGGGGTTCAAGATCTGTAGCAGCAACTAATTAAAAACAATAAAATAAACATACATAAAAAGTCAGTAAGACAACAGTATACTCTTACTGGAATAAGTCAGAAATGAGTTTAAGAAACTGTCTCCAATTTAATTCTTGTTACTTGATGATTTGGTCACATTGTGCCCTGGTAAACATTTCTTTAGGAAGTACTCAGTTACTGCCTATATGTTCTGCTAAACCTCTTAATAGAGTCAAGGTGATATTCCTTTAGGTATGTGGAAAATCTCATTCCAAGCACTATTGAAGACTGAGAAATTTTAGACATTTATCAAACCCCCAGATATAACTTGGGCTTTTGTATAGAAGCTTTAAGAAAATAACATGTCTAAATGTGCAGGAGTACAACAGTGTTTCTGTATGAGATCCAGCCAAGAATAACGCAAGTGAACCAAATGTACTCTGAGAACTCATGAGTAGGGTTGGGCTGAGATCTCATGTGTGACAAGGGTGCTTATCAAACCAGGAAAAGGGACATTTAATAAGTGTGGTACTGAGAGGACAGCTAGTTCTCTGCTCTCTTTACAAAAGTGGAGTATTCTAGATGGATAGGCAGATCACTAATGCTTTTTGGATCAGATCCAAACCTCTGAATTCTTTCAATCAAGAACTTCCATTAACAGAGAAGAAAATAATTGAATCAGTAGTACCAAAAAAGTTATGTGACAATAGAGATGATACTTATTTAGAGATCATAAGCAAATCAGCTGCCATACATGACCCTAATGTTTTTCCTTCTACACACAGCAGTGGAGGCCAGAGTAGGCCATGCAGCACTTTCATTCACACAAGCTCACCCTTCTACCATTGACCTTCCTTAGGGCTTCCCCAGAGCTTCTATAAGTACCCCTGTGCTGAGAAACTCAATTTACCAGGTTTAGTTAGAGGAGCCTCAGGAGTTGGTGTGGTTTGAGGTTTGGGGCGTGGACGACGGGTTCGTTTTGGTGTTTTGGGAGCTGAGGAAAGAAAATCTTCATTATTACAAAGTTTGTAGTTCAAAAGCTATGGGGGCAGGTGCTAAGTTAAGTAAAACATCAGATTTTTCTCATATTGTAGGCAATTCAACTTTTCAGCCTTTTAACTCAAAGGCCTATTGGATAGGTCAAGAAGTAAAGAACAAAAATAGAACGTGTATAGAATGAAATAGTTAAGGAGCCAGGAATAGTGGCACACACCTGTAGTCCCAATACTTGAGAGGTTTTGATAGGAAGAGCGCTAGTTCAAGGACAACCCAACTGAGATACTTAAACTTGAGACTGGACAAACATAGGGAGAAGCACTCTTACACAAAAATGCTGAGAACCTCTGATAAAACATGGTGGTGGCAGTGATGTGGCACACATAACTAACTGAAATATCAATCAAAGAACAAATGTCGCATGGTAAAAGTGAATGAATGGTTAAATAAAGAGAAGAATTTCAGATCTTTAAGGAAACTCCTCGACAGTATAGATATGGCTAAAACTATGAGAACTGCTTTTGAGAGTCACATTCCCCAGAACACACACAATGACCAGATGATTCCATGTGGTTACAAGTTTGACAGACGTGAGTTAGATTTATGGTGGGTCCCACAAGAGGCAAGTTTTTTGAAGAGACATAGTTTTTAGTATTTTTCAGAATGAAGATTTTCAAAGAATGGCAAAGAGAATGCTGGTGTCACCACAAGGAGAAGAATATGTGACTATGACATTGATGGTATGAGTTTGACAATGGCAAGAGAGAGGACACAGCCAGCATCACAACATGTTAATACCTTTTGTTGTCACCCAAGTCTCAGTTCTGAGTGTCACAGGTTCACGTTCTTTTGAAGGAACTAAGCAAAGGCATTAAAATAAACCAAATGACTGTTCTATACAATTGAAAAATCAGATCTTTTCTTCATTATGAATCTTGCTAGCATAATACAGTTTCTATAACAGCATGACACATTTAAAAATGTTTAAATTAATCTGAGAAAAGTAAGCAGTTGATTTCTTAAAACTTCATCATCCCTAAGTCAGGTAGCTATTTTGTCGTTGTTCATTTCTCATCTACTGAATGACCTAGAGTAGACTGTGGAGGCATTGCTTAGAGCTCAGATTAGGTAAGAGACTGAGGCATCAGCATGATAAACTGGTAGTGTTGCTTCATCACAGACAAAGGAGGAATATCTCATGAGAGCATAAAAATAAAGATGTTGTTGATGTCTACAAGCCCAATCTTCCACTGCACTGCCCTACCACATTCCTAAGACCTTGATACGCATGTGCAAGATGAAATGCATATCCTCTGAGATATAGAATGGATTACTACAACCTTGAAGGGAGAGCTCATCCATAGCAATGCTCCAAAGGCTCCTCTGACTAATGTCATCTATTTCTCTTCCTTCACATTTATTCCCTTCCTCTCTTCTAGTCATCCAGGCTCTAGTATGATCTCAAGACTCTACTCCTTTTTAATCTCTAGTCCCTGGCTCCAAATACTTACTTACCTAAGGTTTTTTGTTTACACCCAAAAATTCATCATGCTCATGTACAGATTCTTCCTATACCATCTTCAACTATATTTATAAAGGTTTCCACTCTGCATTGCAAAAATCAAAATATAGCTTCCACATCTATTTCACTCAAAAGTGTTAGTGGGAATAAGGAAGAGGTGGAAGGCATTTAATAATGCTTTTTATTTGAACTGAATATAATTATCCCAAAATAACTTTATTTTTAGGAGGTAAAAGGAAGTTACTAAGGTGTGTGGTTATTGAGAAGGTTGCACACAGGAAGCGGTGGGTATCCAATTGCCCAGACTTCCCTCACAACATTGTTTGCTTGACATTGTACAATGGAGATACTTGACTGCCCACCCCTCCCACACAGAATTGTATCTTTGCTCTATTTGGGATATACTGGAGGTTCTCTGTCACTCAGGTAACTCCCACAACCCTGCTAGGTCACACTGCTGAGGTTGTTTAAACCGAGTGCATATGCTTTACCTGGCTTAGACTCAGGTACTTCAGGACTTGGTATAGGCTTTGGTTTGGGACGTGGACGATGTTTTTTTCTGTGTGATTTTTTGGGATCTAAAGGAAGAAATTATTAGATTACTTTGTATTTTTATTATTTATGAGTCAGGAAGCCATGGAAGGTGAAAAGATGATAGCTTGCTTGTTCTTACATGTTCATCATCTAGTTTTTTTCAATCATACAAAATTTTATGAAGAAAAATTACTATTTAACTATAGAAATAAAAGCTAGTAATTGTTATCTAAGTTTCATAAGATGGTATGGCCAGAACTAAAATGGATAGGAACAATTCATAAATTTGAATGGATAGTGTGCATTTCTACTATCTATGATTCATGATGCATAATTGAATCTCTATATAATTATCAAAATAAAAACATATCAAATATAAACAAAACAACAAAATATTATGTCAACAGAAAAAAGTGTAATATAAATACGGGCCCTTTGGACACCAAGAAGTTGTTAATGTCTTCTCTGTGTGCCTGAGACTTGAGACATGTTTGAAACATAGCTGCAGCAAAAGTGTTCTTCAAACAAAACACAAAACAGGGCACAACTTCAAGTAGGTAATGTGACAGATAAATGGCCCTAAGGAGTTTCATGTATAATATCTTAAAAGCAGACAATTAGAAACTCTTCTAACTTTCAATGAATATAAGTGAATGGCTACAAAGACCTACCCAGCTGCCACCTGAAGTAAGATGAGACTCTTGCTATGACAAGAAGACTTGTTACAAAAATAGCTTAGCAACATTACCTAGTGTTGTTACTTGGACCTCAGGTCTAAGAGTGACAGGTTCCAGGACTACAGCAGGAACTGGCCAAAAACAACACAAGCCAAAGAGATTTAAAAATGCGTATTGAGTTAGAACATTTACATATACTACATATAACTAGAATATCAACTGTCCCAAGGGAAAGAATATAATTAACTTTTTATCTAAAAGAATTTTTTAAGAGTGTGCTAAACTTTTGTTGGGATGGTTATTGGACTCAGCTTTTTAACTACCTGGCTGACTAGAAGAAAGGAGAGGAAAAAAAGGAGAAGGAGGATACAAACAAGCATAGTTGTCAACATGATATTCTGCAAGGTTTTTAATAAAAAAAAAATCTAGCCTATATAGGAAACACTGTGTTAGAAAATATTTTAATGCATTCATTTAACATATCCTTAGAAAAGTAAGCTAAAAAGCATAACATGAGGTACTATGTTTAAGTAAACACTGGTACAGGTTTGAAGCATATGTAAAAAATAATCACTACATGGCTTGTGTTGATCTTGCCAATCTTGTAGAATTTGACACCTCCATGCAAATCATAAGAGAGCAGCATAAAGGTGGCTACTAGTCTAACACTCAATATAGCATCTATCTTCCCCAGGAGCATAAAGGGTAAAAATCAAAGAGTCTGTGTATGATGCAGTATCTCTGTATCTTACCTAAGCTCTGAATTAAATCTTCATAGTCCCCCTTCTACTGGCCTGATAGACCATTTGAAATGCAGTTTCATCAACAAACAGAGTGAGTGAACACTTACAGTCCATCTGGACTGGACTGTTTCTGGCTGACCCTCTATTTTCTCTATTGATCAAAATCCTGTAGCATATTCAAGGTCCAAACCCAGCCAACCTTAATATTGTCTTTTTCTAGATTTCAGATTGTTACTTTGTAGATATATTATGCAGCATGGCCTCAGTTTATTGTAGAAGAAGAAGAGGAGGAGGAAGTGGAAGAGGAAGAAGAAGAACATCAAGAAGAAGAAGAAGAGGAGGAGGAGGAGGAGGAGGAGGAGGAGGAAGAAGAAGAAGAAGAAGAAGAAGAAGAAGAAGAAGAAGAAGAAGAAACTTTCTATAGTGAGTTTATTATTTACAATTGCAAATGTTGAGCCTGGGAAAATGTAAAGGGCTTAGGATTTGTTTACTTAAAATAAGCAAACTGAGTTTGTTAATGTAGTTTCACTATAAAGATTTGAATAGAAATGCATAGGTTGAAATTTGCTAAATACAAAGTTGCAATAAAAGTTCTTACATTGAAATAAAAAAAGTTATTCGGCTATTGGGCCTCACCTTCCTGTATTTTCCTTAAAACATCAACAGAGAAGTTATTGATGCTGCTTTAGTCCTCCCACTCAGAAGTGTAAGAGATGCTACTGCCTACCACAAGCACTGCTTTGAGTCTCTGAGGGGACAGACTATCAGGCTCACCCACAAGCCATGTAACTCCCAAATTTACCAGTTTTTGTTTGAGGTGCTTGAGGGCTCAGTGTGACTTTAGGTCTGGGCTGTGGACGGCGAGTTCTTTGTGATATTTTGCTAGCTGAAGAAAGAGAAACATCATGTTACTTTGGATTTTATGGCCTTGGATACTGAAAAGAGAGCCTTCAATAGCTCTCAGATTTCCTAAACTGGCAGGAGATTGTTCTTTTAGTTTGAAGTTTTCACTCTTTTTAAACAACCATGCTTTAGTGTCATTGATGGTGGTTTGGAGTAAGTTCCTGTTTAGAGTTGCCCATTCAATGCAAAAAGACTAATACTCATTTGGAGAAAGCCATAGACCTCCACTTTGGAGAAAATGATTGAAAAGGAATCATTTAATGAAGGGTAGGAGAGACTTGGGTTATATTATAGTAGAAGCCTATAATTTAACATTTCACATGGGTCATCCTCAATTTGTCAAATTTATAGTAAAACATATCATTACCTAAATCATCACTTACATATATCATTATGCACATATCATTACTTAAATTATATCACCAAAGAAATAGAGTGTATAATAGTTTTCAAAAACAAGTTTAAAAACCTAGATGTCCAAAGGAGCATAAGAATAGTTGCTATTGATGAGCAGTCCTTCTACTGTGGTCAATACTCAGTTGTAATACAGAATTCTGTGATACACAAGACAACACGACACTTTCAATAGTTCTGTGTGGCTATTAGAGTTCACGCTTAGCTCTCATAAACACAACAGGAAGCATGTCTATAAGAAGCTTTGAAGTCTCTAGCAGATGGCTAAAGAGGATGGGTACGCTCTCAGAAAGGTGAAAAGGCCACCTCATGGGGATGGAGAGTTAGTGGATTATACACTAAGCAATAGAAGCACTTGGCAAGTAAGGGTGTTACTTGGCATTGTCCCAGGGGCCTCTGTTCTAAAAGCAACAGCTGTTTCAAGGTCTGTAACAGGTTCATGGTTTGTAATAGGAACTGAATTAACAAATATGAGCTTTTAAAAGGCATGTATAAACACACAACATTTGCTTCAAAATGATTCTTCTAGCATAACACAACATCTAGAATCTCTCTCTCTCTAAAATTATATATATATATATAATTTTCTGGTTGAAGGGTATTATGGACTGAATTGTGTCCTTACAATTTATATTGAAGGGGTATATCGAAGTGGGCTGTATTTGAAAACAGAATTTTAAAGTTGTAACTAAGGGATCAGAAGGTTGGGCTCTCCAATTTGTCAAATGTTCTTATTAGAAGAAGAGACAGTAGGTATGTGCCATGAGCATATATAGACAAAAGGCAGTGATATTACCACCTGGTAATATAGCGAGGCAACCATTTATGAACCAAGGATAGACCTCAGGGAAAATCAAACATGGAAGCACTTTGGTCTTTCAGTTGTAAGTAATCTCCAGAGCTGTAAGAATAGATCACTGTTAAGACTCCAATATGCAACACTGCGGAATTGCTGTTCTACTAAAAATCAAGGCAAATATCAATCCTTCTGTTCAGACAGACAAACAGTAGCTAGCACTGTTCTCCCAGACAGACATCATCTTTGCCCTCGTTTTGTAATGCTGCAGGCAAGTCATTCCTCGTCTTATGATGCTTATCTGATTCTAACAGGGAAGACTTCAGGACATTTTTACTCATGCCCATACATATCTTCTAATGTTTTGTAAGTACTATATAGAAATCTAACTTGTATCTTTGAACACTAAAAAGAAAAAAAACTACCAGGTTCATGAAAATATGACTGCATAAAAAGTTCTGTAGTTAAGAAACACATGAGAAGCCAGTCAAAAAATAACTTCTCATGACTCCATTAACTGCCAAACAGAGAAGTGAAACATCTTATATTTGTCCCTCCCAACTGTAAAGATTGTGCTCACCATTAATCTTCCCTCTCTAGGGGATACCTGAAACAACATGATATTTGCAACCATTGATGGCTCTCAGGCTCTTTGAATCAAGGTCCCCTTGTTTATCTAGGAGACCTAACATATTTAGAGTTGGGTAGCTTTAAGTTTGTGTTCTCTCAGACAATTTTTGGAGATTAAAAAGAGGTAAGCTTGAGTTATTTTAAAGTTATTATTCAGCATATTAGAAAATCAAAAATAAACTCTTTAGGGATTTCAAAGCTTGGTGAACTTTCTTGAGTTCTGGGCCATGTATGAAAGCTGTAACCCACACTATGTAATTTTATCTTTTGTTATTGAAGGTACTTTTGAGGAGGAAATACTAATATAACAATTAAAATTATTAGTTCAGAAAGTCAAGACTATTATTTTCAAAAAATCTCCTAAAATTATCTGATTGGACTAACATGGCTGAGAATCATCTAAATTATGAGGAGGAGAGAGAAAAGACTTCAATTCATATTAAGGTTGGAGTTTACTATTTAAAAATATTAACCTGATGTTATGCTATTCAGACTACTAAATCAGATTGATAATATGCTATTCAATGTATGAAATCACATTGCCAGCATATTAACAAACAGAGAAGCTTGGCATGCACAAATTAGAGGTAGACACAACAAAGATATATGAAACTGGCTTAACAAAAGAATCTTGGTTAAACCAAAACCATAAAGTAACATGGAAATACCTTAAAGCAATTTATGAGGCAGACCAATCACACAAACTAGATCCATGCATCTAACAAACAAGAGACAAGTGCTTCTAAGGATTTTCAGTTCAAATGAAATGAAGAATGTAATTGGGTGGCAACATGAGATGAACCTGACAATGAACAGAAAATGTTTTTGCTGAGAGTCAGGGGTATCGTTACCTATTGTGGTCACTGGATCTTCTTTTAAAGGAGCAACTGGTTCAAAGTCTGGAGTAGGAACTAGTCAAAAATAACAAAAGCAAAATAAACAAAAAGCCCAATCAAATATTAAACATAAAAAAACTACTATATTCATTTAAAACAAATTCTGGCAGAATAGAAACATGTCTGAAACACACAGCCATGTTGTTAACTCTGAATCAAGAGAATATAGTGTCTTGACTCTTAGATGGTGAGCTTATCTCTTAGGAGGGAACAAAAAGCCTTGTAGGTACGGGTCTGTAAAGTTGTCCTTATCCTTTTATGATCTGACCCTACTTAATGTGCTGAACAGATAGCTAAGGTTTGAATACAACCTGTGTCCTCTGAGGCCCAGTCCACAGGTACTGTTAGAAAGCAGAGGCACCTTTGGATGATGGATCTAGTGAAAAGGTCTTAGATCACTGAGGGTATGAGATGGCTTCCACAACCTGTTGATAGTTCTGCATAACCTTTTGAGCTCTCCAGAGGAGCTTTTATATATATAAAAAGAAAAAGAAATAGCTTTTCCAGTGCTCTCTATTCCTGGCTTGAAATATGATCACTTTCTAGATCCTGTACATGCACCTACCATAGCACCACACCATGAGGTGATACAAGCTTGGAACTGACTTCACCACAGAGCCTGTGATATGTTGCTTGATATTTGACCTAGACAAACCTCTCCTTTGTAGTTTTGTTATAGGGAACAAAGCTGACTAATATCTAAACCAAATCCACCTCACTGAGAAGAGACCCAATTTGAGTACTTATGAGAACATTATAAGGGACAGCCACTCTGTCTGTGGCATAGCAAGGTACCCAAAGAAAGTGTACCACAAATCAATTATCTGATGACCTCTAAGCTCCCAAGTTCAACATTAAAAACTTTCAACATGCCCTATAGGTCATAGTTGCAGGAGCCTAATGAAAGTCATTCAGTTCCTAGAAGCCTTATCTTTTTCATAAGAGGAAACGCTTCCTTTCACTGGTTCTCATGCATTCTTTGCCCTTCTGAACTTCCCCATTATCCTCCACTCAAGTCTATGCTATCTTCTCTGTAGGGATTACCTTTACATTCATAATCAGTTTTAGGAAACAAACACACAGCAACCAAAACAACATTCTGCAGAGATGATATGCTCTAAAAAGGCTGATGTATCAACTTCCTAGCACCATACAGAAAACACTTATTGTGGCCTTGTTGGTTTACAATACTTACTACAACTCACAGGCCTTAACAGTAACTGGGAAATCATCTCTCACAAATACAACCATATACTTGTTCTCTTGTTCACTATGAATGCTTGGTAATGACTAACATAGCCAGAAAAGCAACCACTGCAGAGAGAATCCTAGCACGCAGAGCATAAGGGGACTCACTGCCCCCATCCCCTGCCTTATACCTTATCTGAGCTTTTGACCTTCAGTTGCTATTATATTTTCTGTGGAACCTGCTTGAATAGGATGTCAGAATTCTTAACCCAGGACCTACACATTACCCAGTTCGGCTGGAGGTGCTGCAGGACTCCTTGTGGTTTTAGGTTTGGGATGAGGATAGCCTGGTTGTTGAGGCAGTTTGGGAACTGAAGGAAGAAAATATCAGGTTAATACAGGCTTTGGAGTTTTAGAAATGGTGACTAGGAGTACACTTCTTATGGTTTCATGAGCTTCAAGAAATTTCCCTTTTGAGCTTTGGAATATTTGTCTTTGTTTTGATACAGTGCTTTTTTTTATGTTACTCGAATTTCTCTGAGAAACAAAACTGGTGAAGAAATATGAATCTACATATCAATAATATTTCCTACAGTTTCTTATAAGGATTTCTGAGTGAGGAAATGCTCCAAAGACTTGCAGAGTTACAGCGTGCACAAGTTACAAGTGTGGTGTTTCAGTATAATCATAGTTCTAATAATGTTAATTGACCAGTCTTGAATTACATTTTCTACTTTCATCCACATCAAAGTTTTATCATTTCCTAAAATGACAAAAGCTAAGCCATATAAACAGTGAAAATGCAGAAATTTAGAGCTTCAAAAAGACCCTATCACATTATAAGAGCTGCACAAATTAACTCAGCCTAGAAGGTGCAATAGGTTCCCATATAGACATGGACAGAGATGGCTGCCCCACAGCAAAAATATGGATGTGATAAACATGATATGCACAGAAGCAGAGACAAGACAAATTTAAGGTGTGATGGTGAGTCTATATGTACACATATATGTGTATTTTTCAATAAGTTAACTCTCATAAAAATAAGATAACCTTTTAACACACATAAACATATTAAGTAATTGAATGGCCAGAAGATGCAGAAGCTTTGTGAAGCAGTGGTCATGAGGGTGATAAAATGGAAAGGAAATGCAGATGCAAAAGAACATGGTATGCCATTACCTAATGTCATCCCTGGAGCCTCAGTTTTAATAACTGGTTCAAGGCTTGTAGCAGCAACTGATCGAAAGGATAAAAGAAACCGAAGAAATCTTATGAATGCACAGAATGTGAGAAAATTCATCTTAACAGAAAAAAACAAGGTGTCTTGGACTACAACATTATTTTTAATGTTCTTAACTTTAGAGAAGATGAATATTCTGTTTCTTCCAATACTTCTCCAAAGAATTTGCGTATACTCATTTGATTCAGATATTAGTTCCAGCCTTTGGACTCTGTTGAGCATCTCCTTGAGGTCAAGTCTAGAATCCTACTGCTGGCTAATTATCCAATTTTAACATGAGAACCTATATAGAAAATATGACTCATCCTCAGAGAAAGACACCTAGGACTTTTATAAAAGGCAAAAATCAGAAAAGCATTGACCAATGCCAGATGCAACCAGTAGTTCAGATATCTGAACATAAACAAAATGGTAATTCAAAATGACTGGTTAATACTTTTTGCCACAACAGATATAAAGTTTGTATTTATATCCTCCCTTGAGTATGTGCTGAACTCGTGACTTACTAGAACCAGACAGAGAGAAACAGTTCTGTCGGATGAGGAGGTCGCACAGTAAAAAGGCAGGAAGTGTTAAGGACACACTGTATAGTTTGTCTATGATGTGTGTTCATAGCTATAAGGTAATTGAAACCACACTCATTAAGGGGTAAAGTCTTCGGAGAACACAGTTACCTAACAAGATGAGGATTACTCCTTAGTTTTTTGTCATCATTGGGTTGAGTTATCACTACTTCTATGAACAGAAAGAGGATGATCTTGTGGAGAAGTGATAACTATGAAGTCCTGTAGAATTGAGTTGAAGATTTCAGTCCTCCTGTCTCTTTTAATTCATTCTGTGAGCCCATCTGGCAGATCTGACAGAAGAGCATCGATACATTATACTGCCTGGGAAGTCAAGTTTGACATGTCTTCTATGTAGGAAGACATTTGTTCCTTCATCCTTCCAACCTTCAAATCCTGAGCTTTTTTTTTTTTACTAATTATTTTGGATATTTTCACAAAGCTCCTAACATGTAGCATTTGGTGTGCTCAACTTATTTTACATTTGCATGAACATGCTACCTTACATTACTTTCTGTTTATGCAGGAACAGCTTCTGTTTCTGTTGTATTGCCAACCAATGGGTAAATGAAATACACCTCCTACTTCAGAGCCATGGGCTGAGGTGGCTTAGGAGAGGAGTGTGATCTCAATGAGTATAGATTTGAGCAGATCATTTGGCCCAACCTATGCTAAGCCTTATCTTTAAGATATGAATATAATCATAGAGTAAGTAAATAAAATGGTTAAGACACAACTCTTAAGAAGGAATCAGAAACTGCCTAGCTATATGGTGTTCTCTTGGCAAACCAGGAGTTTTTACCCTAAAGAGATATATAGGATACCCTCTAACACAGACTAAATCACAAACCACATATTTACCCAAGATTGTCTGAGATACTTCTGGATGGGGAGTGGTTTGAGGTTTGGGACGTGGACGGCGAACTTTTTTTGTTGTTGAAGCTGACAGAAAAAAATTTAGAATTAACATGGGTGGTGCTGATGAGTCCATAAACTCTGCCTAGGATGATGTGCCCTGCCTGAGCTAGCCTGCTTTCTTCCTTCCTTCCTTCCTTCCTTCCTTCCTTCCTTTCTTTCTTTCTTTCTTTCTTTCTTTCTTTCTTTCTTTCTTTCTTTCCTTTTTTCTTTCTTTCTTTCCTTTAATAGTTTGAGGTAAGAAATTCTATCATTAGAGTTTGAAATTTGTTTCTCTAGTATATTAACAGATTTCTCTTGTCCAGAGACAAAAAAATATATATATATATAGGTAATTACATTTAAGAAATATAATTTAAAAAAAAAAAGAAAAAAAAGAAGTATAAGCTAGGAGCAATCCCTATTCTTTGAACATGTCTCTAACCCCAGATAGGTTATAACTCCACATTCAACTCTAGTGGTATGAATCTTGAACCAACTCTACAGTAATGCTTTTAATTTAACATAACTGTGCCCAGAGAGGTTCTGTACTTGGTGATTTACTAGAGTAAGTATTTTTGAAAGTCACTGAAACAACTGCAGAACCAAAACCAGTTACACAGAACTTGAATGCAGAGGGCAAACGTTTCATACAAGCTTCACTGTACCACCACTAATGCTTCATTAGAGGCCTAAAGGAGGGCCAGGTGTCATAATATTCAAGGACTCAGCCTGACACAATTTCAAGGCAGGGCATGGATCACATAGCTGTCACCATTATTTTCTCAGCAATCATGGCAAAGCTAAATGGTGAACAGAAACAAGTACCCACAGAAGGAAATAAAGAACTGTTACCTAAAGATGGCTCAGGAGTAATAGGTCCCACGTCTGCTGTGAGAAATGATCAAAGGAAATTTAAAACAAGGAAATGATAAACCCACCAGAAAATCCATCAAGTTCTCCCAAATATCTCCCAAGTCTACCAGACTGTTGACCACTGGTTCTATGGTCAACAACAATGACATATTCCAAAAACTTTAAAGTATCTATATAAGAGTCCACAGATGTTTGTACAATATGGCTCTATCCTTGGCATTTATACATTGTTAATGGTAATTTTGCGTGTTTATCTACAGGACTAACTATACATTTGATTGCTTTTATATTAGCAAATAATGTGATAGAAAACTGCTTAGACAAATGTTATACATGAATAAGATCATATGAGAACAATTATGATAAATAACAATTATGAGAAATTAGTGTGAATGCCAATTATGGTGAGACTATATATTGGAAAACAAATCCTAGAGTCATAATAAATATGAATATTGATATATTTAAGCAGACACAGTGAATATTAACTTCAGTGTACAAAAGAAAAATGAGACAATGTTTGATTTTGTTGAGAGTCTACTTTGAAAATAATATGAATACCTATGTTTGAGCAAAAGCAAAAAAGAGCTAGCCCTGGACTGTCAGTAGTCCATGGAATTCATTACTATTTCTCTTCCTTATCAAGGCAGAGAAGATCTGGCTCTGAACAGTAGCAAGACATACCAATGGGTTCAAAGCAACCATTGAAGTTGGGCACCTGCAATCTTCTTTGTGAACTTTCCAAAAACAACATCATTGTTCAACTAAGCAGTAAGGCCACACTCCTGGTTCCTATCTTTCTATTGTCTGTCCCCCTCCCCCCCAATACAAGGCACCTTCTTGTCTCGTAGGACTCAGGCCCATTCTTGCTGATAAATCTATAAAGGCTAAAGGTTTTAGGTTACATGTATTAGCCCATATATACATTTTTTTTAACTGAATAACTTATTATGTGCCTAACAGCTGGTAAAACAGTGACTATCTGCTGCTGCCCTCTATCCTTTACTTCCATTCATGAGAGTTGTTCCTTTGGTCATCTAAGTCACTTGTTACCTCTAGTGCATAGCTCACAGATGCTAATTTGGCATTTTGTCAAATAAACTAAATATATGGGTTTTTCTAATTTATAATCAAAAAGCTAAGTAATTAAATGTCAGAGGAAGAAAACAAAAATGTCTCAGGTATCAAGGAATTCCTCATGAAAACAGCATAGGAAAGTCTAGGGATTGGACAGAACACCATGCTGGTGGTAGCTACTTCTAAGGCTTAAGCCTTCACACTTAATTACGCATATAACTACCACTTTGGCCATACCTAGAGAAGAGCTACATGAGCCAAGAACCATATTTACCTGGTTTAATCTGAGGTATTTTTGGGCTTGGGGTGATTTTATATTTGGGACGTCGATGGCGAATTCTTGGTCGTAATGTTTTGGGAGCTAGAGAAAACAAAGTGGTTACTCTGACTGTATGAGTTCAGGACTAAAGAAAGATGAACAAGTGAATGTAAGGTTTCTGAGACCTTCTCAGATTCGAGTCTAGAGGAAAAAATGCCTCTTTGGTTTGGAATTCATATATATATATATATAAAACCATTTTAGTTAGCTGACAGTTGAGACAGACTGTATGACATTATTTTTATTATACTGAAAACTTAATTGTTAGTTGCTAGCATCAGAGAAGTTTCAGACCCAAAGAGAGTCGGATGCATGGAATGTTATCACATCAGAGAAGCCTGGGCTAACTTACTTTTGGATAACCGTCCTTAGAAAGACTCAGTTTAGAGATACAACCCATAAAATTAGCATTTCATATGTGTTTTACACTTTCTAAAATCACTTGCATACAATGAAAGTCTTTCATATCTTCAAAATAACAAGAACTCAAGAACCATAGCTTAAGGGGTAGGCACTCTGAAGTGGGTCTGACGTCTTATCTTTAATGAAGACTACTGAGTACTGAGTAGACTCACAGGCTCCGTGAAGCATGTGTAAAGCAAGATAATGGGGGTGGGGTGATAGCTACAGGAATATCTGCAGATGATATCTTCAGAGAAGCTTAAAGGGATTGCATCTATAGAAGCTGCAGAGACGTACATCTAACATGCTTTCAGTACTCTTGACATATTTAAAATGTGAAATACAGTTAGTGGTAAGGTATTTTTGTGAAAGAAAAATCCTCTGACCCAGATAGCTATGAATCAGACAATAATCAGATAATGTAAAGACCGAAGACTAAATAGAAGGTAAAGACTAAAAAATTATTACCTAATGTCGTCACTGATGCCTTGGCTCTTGTAATTACAGGTTCAATGTCTGTAGTAGTAACTGACCAAAAGCAACACATGACAGAAATTAAGAAATATACAAAGTAATTTATCTTAAAGGTGAAGTATTTTAACCCTGTTAATTTTTTTCTTAAGGGAATAAAAGAGTGTTTATCTTACAGATATTTTGAGTGAGCATGGCCCAGAAACACAGATTTAGATTACCCCCCAAATTCCATGCTTCAATATGGAAACAGTTTTGTGAAATTTTATAATTTTATAGAACAAAGAAAGTCATAAATCAAGGCAAATTTCAAATACATTGGTGAGTACATTAGAGAGGCAGGTGTAGCAAGACGGAGGAAGCTTTTCTATAGGTCTAATATGCTATCTGATAACATTCTTAATTTTTGTATTGGTGGAAGAAGTCACAAGATGTTAGTTCTGACTTAGATGTGATCAAGGAATATAAGATTGTTATGTTCAAAAGCATTTGTAAAGTCCAGGGAAATTCTATTACTGCCAGTAGCTGGCCAGATTCTCTGCCCGCTTATACTGTAAGACTCTTACACCATTTTCATCCAGAATGGCTGTGAAGTTACTTAAAGTATTTCCCTATAGTTGACCATCTGAATCTCTCTATTCTGATACCGTTGCTCTGTAGTCTGTGATGTGGTACACTAACTTATTCTGAAAATGGCTATGGAGGCTTCTGTTGTGTTTCAAACACATTCACCACCATTATTTTTGATGGTTGTTAGGATACGAAAAGGATTGTCAACTGTACTGTTTTCTGAAGATCTGTGACAATCACACAGATGTAAACCAATGGCCTTGTTTGTAGTAAATATGCTGCTTACTATGTTTCTGTGTTTACTTATCTCAAATGGACAGTTTACATGTAATTATTTAATGTGAGAACAGATATGGAGGACTGGCAGTATTGCTCAACAAAGGATCCCTTGTGTAACACGAATTAAAAACTTAGTTTCAATTCTCAGACCCTCCCAACTGAAAGAATAAAGATAATTCAAAACAAAAGGGAAGCCATACAACTTTTTATCTCAGTATATGAGATTTCTATAAATGAAACAATGCTTTGTAGACCAGAAATGAAGAACTACAATTCTGGTATTAAATCAGTATCTCTCTGTATTTTTCTTTTCATTAAATCTAGGAGATTTCATGTAAGTTTTGATTTTCTCGTAATCTAAAGTCCTCTAAGCATTGGTATAGAGATTGACATCCCCTGATTGTTCAGGAAACCAAAAGCAAAGCATGATGAAAAGGCATCAGGGATCAGTGTCCAAATTAATGATGAACAGAGATGATGAAGGAAGCTAGGGCAAGATGATGACGTCATTATCAGAACTTTTCACAAGATGATTGTCTCAGCAGAAAGGTCCACCCACATTTGAATATTGTGGAATCCAGGAAGAAAGAACCATTATCAGAACTGATGAACCAACACTACAAGCTCCAACCAACTTTTTGGTCTCACACACATGCAACAAAAGCTTCAGGAAGTTCCTGCTTTGAAAGATGAGTGGACAGAGCCCTCTGGATTTTGGCAGTGTTAGGTGTTGCAAGCAATCTGTTTGACTCAGAAGGTCAAAGGATGGATAATGTCCAGGTGCTTTTAGCTGAGCAGATGCAAGAATGCCTAGTATCATGTTAAAAAATGGCCTCTGCCAAACAGCAAGTAATAAATAGGACAAGTCTGAATGATGATGAAACTGAACATACAGATGATGAGAGAGATGAGAAGCAGAGTCTCAGGGAAAACAGGAGTTAGGAAGACATGTGTTACCTATGGCTAGGGCAGGGGCTTCACTTCCAAATGCGACCAGCTCATGGGCTGCAGCATCAAACATAAGAGACAGGCGAAGAGAAAACAAAGTTAAGTACAAGTGATATTTAGTTCAGAGATAAAGAGCACAGTTTATTCTAACTTGATGCAGACTGCTTTCTTGATGGGCTTAATTTATAATGATAAGATCTCTTAGTAAACGTGAGTTTTATACTGGTTGGAATCTCAGGAGAAATTTTCAGTTGTAAAGAGAATCTTCAGAACTATTATGTAAGTTTTTTTAATGTTGTGGAAAACCACCCAGTTACAATTTAACATATCAACAGGTAGTTCAAAGGAAGCCAAACCCTATGTGGTAAGTCTTTCAGTTGTGCCCATTGCAGGGGAACACATGGTCTCTCCTGCATGCATTATCTAAAAAATAGCTAGCAAAATCACTTTATATTGTCACAGGAGCAAAAAAGTCCAACTTCTGTTCATCATAAACCCAGAAAGGCCTAAAAATTGCTTTTTGTAACATATGGGATACTAAGACTATCAGGTATAAAATGTTCTTTCTTTCTATATGCAGTGTGAATACTTTCAGAAGACAAAGAACAAAATAACAGTGCTCTGTTACATTATTAGTTTCATATAGAAACACTTTCAATGACATTTCCAAATATAAAAGTGTGTTAAACTAAGACAAGGGGACTTATGTTTACTGTCTTTAGTTGGTTGCATATCAGGTGTGGCTTTGGGTTCTGGAAGCAATTGTTTCTCAAGATATTACAATTAGTTAAGCTATGGATATAGAAATCAGTGTCACATGGATACTCTTTTCGAATGTACATGCTAAGGTATTGAAAATGTAAGACATTAATTACCAGGCTTGATTCGGGGTACCTCTGGCCTGCGTGTGGCTTTAGGTCTCTGGGGTGGTTTGGGAACTAGAAGAGAAGGTATTAAAATTAGCATAATGGTCATGGTTGTGACTGTCAAAATTAAGGATGCATAAGCTGAGAGACTCAATTCAAGTATGGAAGTAGAAGCTGGAATGGTGGAAATGGTGCTCACTTAGCTCTTCGTGTCTACCATTAGCTTTCCATGGAAGAACAATCTTAAGAAAATGCTTAAAATGTTTCTTTGAGTCAAAGTACGAGCTATCATAGGACTTTCTTCCTGAACATACTATTTAAGAAGGACTAAGTGTATCACTTTTACTGCTTTGCTTTTCTTTTGGTACAAGATAGTAAGACAGGGAATTTTAAAGTTGCTCAAGAAGAAACCTGGAAAAGTACCCATAAACATCTGCTATTAAAACAAGAAATAGTGACACATGGCTATACTGGACCCCAGATCATAATCAGCCTATAGTATCCAAACATACTAAAAACATTCACCAATGGGATTGTGCATCTTTTCAGAATCTTATAAACTTGATGAGAAAAATGATGAAATTTTAATCATGAAACTGGAAAAATGTATGCCATTTGTTTAGTCCAGGATGAGTACAGACATCTGTGAGGAAGAACAGAAGGCTCTCTGACTGAAGGACAGCAGAGAACCGGGAAGCTATGCCCAAGACCACAGACCTTCCCTACACCAGTGTAGCAGATTTTACTGGAAGAATTCTCCAGCCTCCAAGCTCTTCCCACCCACACAGGAGATGAAGGAGAGCATGGTTGATGGTGTGATTGGGTGACAGAACTTCAGTTGTGCCTGAGTTGCAGACCATGAGAAGAAAAAGTGACAAGACAGCAAGAGAGGATGCAGAATTACCGATTGTGGGTACCAAGATCTCCGGTGGTACAGTGGCAGGTTCCAGAGCTAAGAAGTAAAACACCAAGGACTCTAATTATGGAGTGACATCCTAAGGAAGTTGCACTGTGTCCTAAGGTGGAGGCTGTACACATACACAAAGTCTCTCTCTCTTTCTCTCTCTTTTTTTTTCTGAATGTAATTCCCTTTTTACTTTTCCCATTCAATCCACTCTTGCTTTCCCGTACCTTAGCTGTCCTCCATATGACTCAGCTGTAAGACTCTAAAGATTCTTGCTTTAATAATTGACTTAGTGGGCCAGCTTTTCACACTGTACGCTTACTAATTGCAAGTAAAGGCATGAATGCATCATTTACAATATGAATGTAGAGAGGGGTGGCAGCAAACAAACTAGAAGCCACATCACTGTATCTATAGTAACTGGAACCCTAAATGTCACATTTACCAGGTTTGGACTTGGGTACTTCTGGACTACGCGTGGGTTTAGGACGGAGGCGGCGACCTGGTTTTTTGGTCTTGTGTGGAGCTAAAGAAAGGAAAATGTCTAGTTAGCAGAGAAAGGTTAATGCTACAAATTGAGAGTAAAGGTTACATGTAGTACAGTCACGTATTTAAACTTCTTGATTCAATCTGGACACATTCTATTTTGCCACTTTGTTTTTTCTTGTTGGAATGCTTTTATTTCTTCAGAGTTGTCTAAGGTGTGCCCCCATTCCTTTTACCAAAACCCTTGTCCTAATCTGGCTTCCTGTTGTTGTGTATAGAACAAAAGCAATTTGGTGAAGGTTTGACTCACACTTCTACTGCTACAACCTATCACTCAGGGAAGCCACAGCAGGAATTCAACCAGAAACAGAGGTAGGTTCTGGGAGGGATGATGCTTACTGGCTTGCCCCCTGAAGCTTGTTCTGCTTGTCTCCACCCCCACCCCCACAAACCCCCACTGCCGCCTTATTTATTTTTTTGTTCACTTTACATCCCTGGTGCTTTGCCACTTTCTATCATCACCCAGTTACATAAAATGTGGAGTTTAGTTAGTTTTTTTTTTATGTTGTTTCTCTTCCCCTTTGCGCCTCTCTCTCTGTCTCTCTCTCTGTCTGTCTCTCTGTCTCTCTCTCTCTCTCTCTCTCTCTCTCTCCTTCTCTCTTTCTCTCTATCTCCCCCTCCCTTCCCTTTCTCTTTTTTAGAGTTTGTCAAAGATTTACAAATTTCCCAAAAGATCTCCTTATTCTTCCACTTTGAAACAGACATTGAGAAATCTCAAATTCGTGTACAGTTTAGAGGATATGATCACACAAAAGTCTCAAAGCAATACTATCAGGAGAAACATGAGAAGATTGATTTTCAGAAGCACTAAGGATTAAAATTAAACTTTGGCTTAATATTCCAAAGCAGGAGATTCCTTTTCTACTTAGCATTAAAGAAACCCACATGTAAACAATAGGGCAAAAACATCTTGAATTCCAAAATTATGTCAAGGGAAACCTTTTTTAAAAATGAGACATATCCATAGGCTAGAGGTAATGTAAGATTTAAAGATTTTAAGAATAATCAAGAATACAAAGGCAAATGGATACTGATGTATTATTACTCCATGAAGATGAATCTGAAAGAGTCACCCACTCAATAACTGTAAGGACAACCAACATTACAACTGACACATTCTCAGGACTCTGAGTCCTGAAACCACATGCAAAATTATCAAGGGGGAAATCAAGTCAAAGGGAAAACAAATGTAAAATGAACTAAAATGTGGGATATGCTCAATTTTTAACTCATGGCTTGAGAAAATTCTAAGTGGTGAAATTTTATCCACATGAGATGTAACCTTTTCTACTGAAATCAATTCCTGAGGTTTTAGACAAAATGAATAAAAATGTAGCCAGCTAAAGCTTGGAGAAGGAAATGGAAAAAGGGCAGAGGCCTTTGGCCGCTGTGGATGTAATCCACTAAGCAGGAGCTTTTGTTGTGAAGGAAACTGTGTGTAATTGGCTAGCTCGGCAGCGGGATGGGTCTGTTCTTCAGTTGGTTTGGGTTTGGTTTGGTTTTCTTTTTTCTCTTTTGAAGAAAAGGAAGCTATAAGTGTTAGCTTTGTTGTTCTTTTTTCTTTTTCCCCGACTTCTAATGAATTATCTGGTGACACATTAGAATTTTCAGATCTGGAACGATCGTCTCGCTTTTCAAGAAAGTCTGCAAATGTTAGCGCTTTGGAAAGTGAGGGAAAAAACACCTCCCAAAGGGAAGCACAACTATGCCCGTGGATGCCAGGCTTCTCCACTGGAAATAACAGGTTAGAAGCAGCTAAGGAAAATCTCCTTGAATATAATAGGTCACATCCAAGGCAGTATGGCTGGCTTTCATGGGTGTCCCAGAGCCTCTGTTCAGACAAGCCCAGGCACAGGGTAGATATTCTTGCAAAAACAACTGCAAAAAGAAAAAATATCTGAAGGACAATTAAGTATTTTTAAAGTAAAGCAAATCTAAGGACAAAAGTTGAACACAGAAAGTGATACAGGCCATTCTTCCACTTTGATTCAAGCAAGCAGCTTTACCCTTTGTTGAGTGTGCAGATGGTCGAGTCTCGGGTTCTGGGGCTGCAATGAAAGCAAGTAGTGTCAGAGCAGTGCTGAGGGGTTCACCTAAAGCAGAAACTAAACATTCTTTCCCACAAGACACAGTAGTTCTGTGATGAAGGCATAGGCAATTCCAGCTTACGATATTAAGGCTTATTAGTCTCATATCCATTGCATAAACCTCAGCCAAAGAGTTAAGAATTGTCATTCATCCTGCTGATCTTTGCTGTGGCTGTCTCCGGGATGTTCTGAAGTTCTTGCCACCCGCCATTTTGTTTCTTACAGAGAGGCCATGTCCAACCCAGGAAGTGAGAAGAAGGCAATGTCTAATGCTTGTCCTCTGTCAGTTTTGAATGATATCCAGCTTGGCTGGACCTCATGTTCTTTCACAAAAGATAAGAAACTTAAGTGTAAAGGGACCACGAGTGTTCGTATGGTACAACTGTGGTTACAAGTACATATTGCTAGTAAACAAAATCCGTTTGGTTAGCAAATCAGTATGTCTCCAAGTATGGTCTCAGGTTTCAGGAACTGCTTTAAAAAATTAAATAACATCTTATGATAAATAACAAACCCTTCGATGGTCAAATGAGAAGTTAGCAAAATCTATTCTATATATTTTTGCTGACAACAGTTTGGTGGCATTTATTATGTCTGGGAGGAGAAAAAAAAAACAGGCTCTTTCCAGTAGTTTTTGTGTTATTCTACTCAATAAAAAGACATTTCTTTCAATAAGATAATTAAAATTAGATGTATTTTTTAAGCATATGGGAGAAAATGAGAACTTTTATTTTTTATAAAAAGAAATTAATTTATTTGCCACCCATCAGCTTTCATTACAACATAAACTCTCCTCCTATTTATACAGCTGAGATAGTACTTTGTCTGAGTTAACCCTGATAATTCTTAGTGGAGAAAGTGGCAGGTTTGGAAGTCCCAAGGAGTGACTGTGGTGGGGGGTAGAGGGAAGAACAACAACAGTGGCTTTTATACAACAACTTTCTAGGAACTAAATGACTGGCTTTCAAAACTCAAATATAATAAATCAGAGCCAAGTGTGATACCATACTGTGCACTAACACAGAAGGGTGATGGTTCTCCTTGTATGGGACAGACAGGGAGGGGAAAGGCAGAGACTGGTTTTCAGAACTGTACTGGGTTACGCATATAAAATAAGCCAAAAACAAATGTGAAGCTTCGCTGACTAAATCAACCACCAAGCAAAAGCAGCTCATGTGGAAAGTGAAATGGAAAAGCAGGCATTCGAGGAGAGCTGGAAAGGCAGAGGATTCTCCGCCCTAAGAAGTCGTTGGTGGTTTATGCACTCTTGTGAACTCCAGCTAGAAACAGAAACCTTCTGCAAAGCTCAATGAACACCAAGTTTGTGGCTAAAGAAACGCTTTGTAGAGATCCAGCCCATGCACTCTGCTGACTTGGGTCACACATTGTCCCTTACTATGAGGTTAGAGTGTTAACCATCTCAAGTGGTGATTCTGGCTGTGAGCTGGAAAGGATGAGCACCCTAGGCTGTGAAAGGCTTAGAAATCAAAGGAACAAAACCACGCCAGCTTCCAAGTTAAAAAAAAAAAAAAGCTATAACAAAAAAATCCAATTAAGTGTCTATTAAAACATTTTAAAGAGTAACAGCATGACCTCTAATTTAATATATCTTAAATTCATTTCTAATAATATGGCTTATCATAAATAAATGTCAATCAATATTTATAGGCAGTTTTCAATGCTTTCCAACTTTATTGTGAAATTAACAGACATAATTACTGAGGAGGACTATTTAATTTGCTAACCAAAACACACAGCACCATTCCCCATCTGCCTGGTATCTATTTCTACTCAGAATGCAGCATAAATAGTCATGTCCTCATTCTAAACCTATAAATTATTTCTAAAACTCATATACATTAATTCCTGACCACTTCAACTGACAAAGCTCTTTATTTAAACTTCTAGGACACTTGATTTTTATACACTGGGATTCTACATTTGACAGCCTTAGCCAGGGTCACCCACACACTTGTCCATGCCTCTAATTCAGTGGTTCTTGACCTTCCTAATGCTGGGACCCTCTAATTCAGTTCCTCATGTTGTGGTGACCGCAACCATAAAATTATTTCATTGCTATTTCATAACTGCAATGTTGCTACTTTTATGAATCATAATGTACATATCTGATATGCAGGATATCTGATATGTGATCCCTGTGAAAGTGCCATTTAACACCCCCACCTTCTCCCCCAGAAAATGTTGTGACCTAGAAGTTGAGAACTCTGTTCTATTTCCTTCAGCCTGCCACCTACATCTGGAGACCTAGTCACACAAATTCATTTTCTTAGCAGTTGCTCTTGTTGCCTTAAATCATCATGAAAATAAATCATGATCACTTAAGCAGAAAACCTCTTGCTTTAATAACTGCTGTATAAACACACCACTGGTAGAAATCCAAGTTGAGAATCCTTTACACAGCAGAATATAGAACACATTCTCTTGAGAGCTAAAGGTTTAAAATGTATATGACAATGACAGTAAGAACCACCAAAGCTTCCCACAGCTAATTTTATAAATTGATATCCAAGACTGTTGTCTCAGTTCCAGATAAACTGTAAAAAGTGGCAATTGGATCATTTAATATGTTCCACCATCCTTAAATAGGTGCTTCTACCAGAGAGCCTTTAGACTTTAGAAAAACAGCATAAAATCTCCTGAGAAGTAAACAGAATGTGCAAAAATCACCCTTAACTAAGAAGGCTTGGCACGTTCAAGAAAACAGCTCTTTCTGGTCCTGCCACCAGAACTGAGGCTCTCCAAACAAACAGAGTTCTTAGAAGATGGAACCCACACCCGCCTTGCCAGCTGAAAGGCTGTTATTCAGAATTTCAGTCAACTATGGTGCTGGAATGTATGCTGTAATACAGACAAGGGACCCTCACTCAGTCCTGAGGCTATATTTCTGGGTTCTCTGTGTGATGGTCATGAACATAACTATCTGTCACAAAGTTCAGAGCAACACTATGATAATGCCAAAGGGCCCTGTTGTGCAGAGGTCATCTGGTTGGGTTTTCGCACTTTCCATGGAAAAACTGCATCAGATGCTAACTTATAAATTGGAACTTCTTGAGCCCAAGAGTTGCATAAATCAATCTGTCAGCATTATTGTTAGAACACTACAACTGAGGATCAGAGAAACTATCACGTACGGTGTCAGTTCTAGACTGAAGAGAATATTTTAAGTTTCAGAGAAAACAGTTGTATTTTACTGAGTTAAAAATAAACAAAATAATCAAAAGATTCCTATGTTGGTATATAAAACCACAAGAGATAAATCTAATACTTGGACTAAATATGTAGAATGCATTTGTCATCTTGGAAGATTTTGGAAATATTCCATTAAAAGAACATTTCATACTCCAGGCACAGAGAATCACTTATGGAATCATGTTGCTGCTTTCTGGTAACTACTCCAAAACTGGTTTTAATCTATCCTTCATTATATCTCATTTTTACTTCATATTTATTAGAAAATGGGGGTATGTTTTGATGTTAGTAATTGATTGATAGGCATAATCCTATGATCTAAAACACAAAGAAATTCCAATGACACCAAGTTAAGAGTCACCTTTTCAGAGAACTCCTAAGTTGAGCTTGAAGATGTTTTCCCAAAAGCCTCAAGAACCATGTGCGCCATCCTGCAAAGAACAGTAACAGTACCTACCAAGTACTGCTATAGACAACATCTGAACATCTGAGCTCAGATCAACTAATTCAAGAGCCAGTTATTCACAGTCAAAATAGCCGTAGAATCCATGCAGTGTGTGAGGTATTTGTCATCTCCCAAGCAAGCAATTAGAACAAACAGCCTCTGACAGCTTACAAAAGAGTCAGGGTGCTGCATTCTCCACAGTGGGAAGAAAGATCAGATACAGCACTGAGTAGCATCAGGATGTTTAGAAATTTTGGAGCATTTGTCCTTGGACTTGTAGTTCTTCCTGGTGACGGGAAGGAAAAATTAACAACGTAGAGATAGTAAAATCTCCTTCAGGAACAGAGTGACCTTTCAAAACCCTGCCATATCTAGTAGTCAGCCATAAAGTATGCACTGAACAAAATTTGAAGGAAAGAATTTCTGAATCATCACAACACATATGGGTCAGAAAAAAAATATTTACATTACAAAGTAAGAGGAGTAAGTCAGCTTGCTGAGTAAGTACCTGGGCATATCATTAGGCAATGAAAACCGCCACCCGCCTCCTGTTGATAAATTACTTGAACTTCCTCGGGCTGCAATAGATGTTTTCCCTTCCTCTTTCTTCCACCTGAATCTTACAAATAGTTTAAGCTCACTGCTGCAGCACACTCTTTCCTGGAGCTTCTGTATAAACACTACAGGCTGAAGTTTTATATCTCATGTTTTATTTTCTTTATTATTACTCTTGGGGTTAAAAGAAACTTGAAGACCAGAATAACATCCTTTCTACATCAGCACACTTTAGGGCAGTGTTTCTCAACCTTCCTAAAGTTATGATCCTTTATGTCTTGGTGATATCAAACCACAAAATTATTCTCCTTGTTACTTTGTAACTGTAATTTGCTACTGTTATGAATCATAATATATGTATCTGTGTTTTCTGACAGTTTTAGGCAGACAAAAAAGTCATGACCTACAAGTTGAGAACCACTGCCCTGGAGCAAAAATGAAAGATGCTTCAATGCAATGTATATCCAGAGTAGAATAGTTATTTCATACTGTGAGCTGTGGGGCAGGACATATTTCCCCAGCCTATCTCCAAATCTAGAAACATTTTATTGGAGATCCCTGTTTTCTCTTTTATATTACTGTTAGTTACTATCAAATTTTGTAAAGAAACTGTCCTGCAGAGAAGTATAATTTTCTTTTTACTCTAAGGAGACAAGCATGATCTATTTGGATGTAAGTAATTTGAAAAGTTAAAGAGACATTATTTACCAGGTTTGACTCTTGGCGGTTTGGGTGTTGACTGTCGTTTGGGTGTGGAGGGGATAGATGTAGTTTGCTGGGGAGCTGCAAGAAGAGTTAATACAGCTTTGTTCAGTGATACTTCCCAAAGGTCAGCCACATTGTGCCCACAAACATAAATACACAACACCACTGAATGCAAGAAGGGCTATCATAGTTCTCCTTGTATTTCTCCATGATGTGCTTTCTACAGAGTACATACTCAATAAGTTTCCCTGGACCTAAAAAAAAAAAAAAAATCATGTTTCTATAAAGGAACACTTAAATTTCTACTTGAGGAAAAATACTACTCAAATAAAGGTACTGGTAACTGAGCACCCTAGAGGCTTTTTAGATTATAACATAAATTATTAATTTATGTTATATAATATTTATATAATTTATATGATATTTTGAATCTATGGAATGGGGAAGAATGTTCAGAATATCTTAATCTTGTAGTTTATTAGCACCTTTACCAGACACTAATGGACTCCATTATTTAATTTTCTTAATATGACACGAGCTCTCTCACACATCTTTTTCGGCATATCCAGGATTGCAGGCACTACTTGGTTCTTTCTGAACTAGCATGGATTGAATGCTACTACTGTGCTCAACAGAAAGAAATATACTTAAAACTATTATCACTTGCTTCTGCTACATTTTTATGGTCAACAAAGTTGAAAGCAATCAAGAAAACTACTTTTCAAAATATATAGACATCCTAATTGTACAAATTCCTTGAGGTTTGTCATAAGACTAACTATGGATGACTCAGGTCCTTGAAGAATCCCATGGTAAAGAAAGAAAGGAAATGACTATTCATTAATACATCAAAGGCAAATGTCACTGGTTCTTTGCTGTCACTTTACCTGTCCTTTCAAAGCATACAACTACACAAATGATATCAGTTACCAGCTGTTGTAGGTTGCACTTCAGGACTGGTGAAGATTTCTGCATTTTGGGATTCAAATGATGCTTTGCTTGGAGCTGGAAACATAAAAACCCCACCCCATCAAACAATCTCAGTTAAAATGTGGCATTTTAGGACTTTCAACATACTTTCAGGTGGAATAATTTGCATGCTAGAAGGATGGATAAAGATGCATATTGTCCTCAGCTGGTGGATGATACTGTGATGTAAAGCAGGGAAAAGCTAGAATGCTGATTGCTCAGAACAAGCAAACATGGTCCATGAAAATGAGGGGATGCAAGCCATAAGCACAGAGCAAGAGATGTTGCAGATGACAAAGATATCCATGCAGTTTCTAAAGTTTTTTTTTCAACTTAAAGAGTTCAAATCCGCTTTTTTTGTAGTTCATTTAGTATGAGAGAAAGTGTCAGATATAAAATGGAATACAAAAGATGCCTGTATAAAAATATATCATTCATCTATGATCAGAAATAGAAAAGAGGTAAATGGTTAGATGAAATGGGATTGGATGGTCATTTTGGAAGAAAAGCATCCACAAGGGTTATGGAACTTTTAATGGAAAACAAAGCACAATTTTTCTGTTAAAAACATTACCCAGTGTTGCCCTTGGCTGTTCAGCAGTTCTAGAAGTTTTAGGTGGGACAGAGTCCAGAATAGGATCACTTGTTGCTGTTGGAATAAATGTCAACATTTATAAAAGGAATAGGAGTTCCTAGGGAAAAATACAAACTCCTGAGTAAGAAATGGTGACCCATAAAAGGAAAATATCAAGGACACTTGAGGAATTGCTAGCCAATGCTTTAAGCCAGCGATTCAATAGGAACTGAAGATGGCCTCACTATGCAAAACACACCACTGATATATCAGAATCCGTGATAAAACAGCTATGCCATTCAACTTATTTTCAGTTGCCTTTTTCTAGTTTCTTCCCATGTTTCATATCTGCTAGTGGAACCTACTATGAGGATTCATTTTTATTACTTTTTAATTTTCTACTGTATAAAATTATTTATCTTTGCTCTCCATATAAATAATGTTGAGGTAAGACTATACGTAAAACAAATACCAGGTGCCTGTCTATGTTTGACAGATACCAGTCTCACACTGAGTTCTCCAGGACCGGTTTAGTAGATGTTTGATACACATTTGCTAAAAGAAGCTTCTGGACTGAGCTCAACCCACTGTAGATGGGTCAGTAAGTAAATGTAAAACTTAGATACAACCGACCTATAACAAACAAGTGATGTTCCCATCCTAGCATGAGGCTTCTCAGCTCAGCAGTACAACAATTAGTGCCCAAGAAAGCTTAATTGTGAGAGGCTGCTGGGTACACAGCAGTGTATCCCAAGTCTCTATGTTCTAGATGTAGATACACCTCCCCTAGTAGTTAAGAACAGATGTATCTCTATGCAATGTCAAATGCCCCTGTGCAGAGGAGAGATTCTAAACCACCCCCATTTGAGAATTACTGCCCTACAGAATACTCTCTAGGAATGCAAAGTATTTTTAGAAGAGAAAGATGTCATTAAATTACTTTCCCCAGGTGGTGGCCTCATCTATCTGTATTCTTCCCCTGAGTGACAGTTTGTTTACTGACAAAAATAATGAGTAATTCTCAGTGGGAAATATGGACAGGAAGTATCTCCATGACACAAATAGAGATAGCTACTACTTGCTATGGAACTCTGTGGAGCACATTTCTTCATCCTACAAAAATTAAAGAGCAACGACTAGGTATAAGAAGACCTAGGATCCAAAGGCATTGTTGAAAGGTTGGGTATACCTGGGTGAGGCTCTATTTCTGTCTCATCTGAAGTTGTTGAGCTTGAGACAACATCATAAGTTGCTTAAAAATAGAAAGATAAAAACAAAACATGTTAATTTTGCTATATTATGCATGATTATCTGACATATTTTAGTGGTGGCTAAGGCACAGTTTTAAATAGGTACTAAACTCTGGAGCTGTAGGCCTCCTCACTACTGGCTGAGCTGAAAGTCACCACTACTGTCTTAACTGCAGCAATTTACCATGCCATGGCTTTGGCCCTGAAATGATGTGAGAATTTTGTCATTTGTTTATAATGAAGTGATGCCAGCTTTAAATCAAAGAGTTTCAACAAGCATAAACACAAATCTAGTAGTCAATGTGGCAGCTAGAGGAGAGGCTTCTACAGAAGGAAAGAGAAGGCACATTGAAATAGAAGGCACTATTTTGTAGAATCCATTGCTTAATCTTTCTGCTTAGCAAAAGTCTCTGGTAGGGTACCTAAGGAGCAAAGTTCACATTGTCTCATGCATTAACCTCTGTATTCTTGTTACCATCCCTGAGATAGAGGTGAGACAGGCATTGTGACCAGTTTGTCCATTTTCTAGACAATAAAATTGAGGTTTATAGTGGTAACAATAATTGTAGTATTCACATGGAGGGATTGTTGACTGAGTGCATTTTCACCCTAAGCTAAGGGTAAAATATCAGCGCGAAGGACAGTGGGACTAAGACCAAGGCACATTTGGTACCACCTCTCTTGGTTTTATTTAGAGGTAGCTTTCTGAGTTCCTCCATAGAGTCATGATCCCTTCTACAAGATGAGTAGATATGAAGGCAGATTTTTATATTCTGTATGAAAGGAAGAAAATGGGATGCATTCAAATGTAACTGTTTTAATATAGGGATAAATTTCATCTTCGCATAAAAGAACTTGCGAGTAAAAACTGTACTGAAAATCTTGATGCACAAATAACTGTCACTGTGGAAATAAGAGGCAGAGAAAGCAGGAACTGGAGATAGACACTGCTTATTTTGGAAATTCAAATTGGCTCATAGGTGAATTAGTAATATGGAGGTAGCATGCAGGAGGATTTATTCATTGGACCCAATGGCAATTTAATGACATAGAACTCATGCTAACTGGAGCTGTAAGATGGTATTAGACAGTAAGACAGAGTCTCAGAAGAAGAGAACAGCTCATGCGATTCCATAAGAGGACACAGGAGAAGCATGTCACTTGTGAAGGTAAACCTACAAAGTCCTCAGAAATAGAATATCCTGTGTGAAAATAGGCACATGCTGTGAGAATCTTATTTCATTAGAACCTAACATTTTAATGTAAAGTTAACCTACTTGTGATTTTAAAAGACAGGAATGATGTATCTTTTAAAGAACAAAAATACTGTCAGTTTCTAATCCTTGCCCTGCTTTAAGGCTCAAGTCAAGCTTCTAGTGACATCAGCTCTGTCCCCTTCTAAATGTTAGGAAATGTCATCAACCTTTACATCTTCCTCTCACCTTATGAAATTGCAAATTAATATCTTGACTTTATATTCATGCCTCTGGAAAATGCCATGGCTGCATTTATGGTAGGTCCCAAATCTCTTTTCTATTGAGTATGTTAGATTAGGTCAATTTTTCTGCAGTCTGTATTTTATTCCAATGGGTATTTATTAATTAACCCTACTTCTTATATTTACACTTTGAGTTTCCAAGCCAGACTGACAACTTCTGTAAGTCATTAATAGGGGCATCACTGGAAATAGAACACTGTGTTATCCTTTAGTAATTATGGGTCATGTCTGTATATTTCCATTTGTTAGGAATCTCTTACTTTCAAGTCTTTTTCTTGAACATACTTGAGATTGAAATAACATACTTGTCAGCATAGTTGCTCCCTATATTTCTATTTCTATACTTTTTGAGAGTTGAATGGTAAAGAAAAAGAAGAAAAAAGAAAAAAAAACCTAACCTACTTCCTACATACTAGAAGTCTTATACCACTTAGACAGCTTTGAAAACCAACCACCTCAACACAGCTTGCCATATTGAATCAAAATCCTTTGACTCTGAAGTTACAGATGTCAGAGAAGAGGGCAGAATTAAAATGGAACTCTCTCGAAAATGCTCTCAATATAACCGTGAGTTCTGAATTTCCTTACAAAATCTTTAACATCTAAATATTCTTTACAAAACTTTGCATTTAAGCCTGCCTGGCTGGATTTCACAAATTGTTTGGCCTGTTTCTAACAAACTATTCTAGGTATGAAACTGATGAACAGTCCCAAGAGTTTGGGGTGAGTACTACTGTTTTTTTTTTTTCAGACAGTCTGCATGCCACCATGCCTTTACTTTACTGGATAAAACACTGATTATTTGAAACTAGGCAATGGCTTTGATATTTAATTCACAAAGCCTCCGTGAGAACAGAGTTGAAAGAGAAATCAAATTTGAAAGCTGAAATGGGTACTACAATTCAAAGCTATAACAAGCAAAATAATGAGTCATAATTACACAAAATTTTACTTTCAAATTTCCCAGAAGTATTTATACTCATAAGACCATTTGGTATTTATGTTTTATTTGCTATATAGTTTTACTTTGAAAAACTAAATAATTGCAAATACCGACATAAAAATACCACAATGGAGTCATGGGTAGTACACAAAGCATTCCAAATATGGAATAACATCTTTTATTTTGCTTGGATTTCTTAAATATCAGTAGCCATATGAGAGATTTTTCCTTTTCAAACATAATTTCATGGATAAAAAAACCTTATTGGAGAGAGATTCTGTCATAGTTATTTTGTTTTACAAAGTTTATATACTCTAGATCCTGGTACATAGTAGACCAACAGAAGAATTAATGTGCAAAATTCCCATTTTAGCACACAAATTACTTTGGAAGATATGTCAAGATCTTCAAAAGAGTAATGACCTTCTGGCTAAGATGTGGGGATTGAAGATAAACACGCCTTTTAACTATTTAATAATAAGAGAAATGTATGCACCTAAATATCTACTACCAGACTTGCCCTTGTTATGCATCACCATGAAAACAGAATTCCTACAGCCATATGAAGAAGCAATGAAGGAACGTAGCAGCACACCACTAGGAAAGCAACACAGATTCTCTGGACTGTTTGAATACACAATGCATTCTTTGGTTAGTGGAAAATTATAGCACCTCTCAGCTTGATTTTGAAGTTTGTGAAGTAAAGTGAAAGATTGAGTCCATAAATCCCTAAGAGGCCACAGTGAGCCTGTAAGCCATCTGCTATGCTTCAATCCACCTTCCCGTCCTTGGAGCATCAACACTCCAACTTGTTCCTACTTTCCATCATCCCTAGGGTTTAGTCTAGATGGATGAGCCAGCTCTGGGCTAATCAACACCTCACTACAGGCAGTAAGGTCTAAATAACAGAGTTTATCTCCTTTCAACAACTCTAAGCAAATCACCCAGGATATGAATGTCCCAACTAATACACTCCTCCTTGTGCTAGCTGAGCTATTTAGTTCACAGAGTCTAGCTAGGTGACACAAGTTTCTATAATTCTACAAAGTATGTACAAATTCAACACTGAAAATGGCAAAGGCTGACCACTTAAAGAAAGCTCCAATGTGGCAGTGTGAAAAAAAAAAAAAAAGATCAAGACTGACTGTCCTCCATCCTGACCTGTCAGAGCAAGTCTCTAAAAGATGACTTGTGACCTACAAAGGAATGGTTTAACCAAAGGAAGACATTTTTGCGATTACTCTCAATATATTGGGGGCTGTGATTCAGTTGTTTGAACACTTTGGGAAAGGACAGACAAAGGGTTTTCTAATGCTGAAACTAAATTCATTGAATCATTCTGGGGTTGTGACCATTTTCTTCTTTTGATTCTGAAACTTTGTGGTACTAAATGAAAGTCCTTTTACAGAATGTTAAAATAAATTAAGGAGACTTAACACTAGTTCTATCAAGCCAGAAACAGGAACTTCATGTCTATCACCTGCACCTCCTGTACCGTGTTGTCCATCACACGTGCTGTCGATGTGACTTGGGAGCCTTTCCAGCTCTGTTGCCCATAGAAAACACAGAAACTTGACCAGGACATCCTTTTATTCAATCTGCACAAGTCCTCAGAGAACACTTAGAAATTCAGATCATCACACTGACGGGACAGAGAAGAACTTGTGATTCTCTGTTGTGAAACTCTGTTCCCAAAATTCCAAAGTGTGCTGCTGCATGGTATTGTTTCACTCTTCAGTGAGAGTCATTGAGTGGAGTGATTGCGAAAGAAATTGATGAGCCTAGCTATTGGTTGTCTGCCTATCCTGGGGATAAGTTCCTCATGCATCACCTTACTGTAAAAGGAACTAACCATGCTGAAGGCCTTCAGAAATGTGAGTGACATTAGCTCCATAGGCCTTTGAGTTTCATAGAAGAATATTAATGTAGAAATTATGTAATTCTAAGGGGGAAGGACCCAACAGCATGTGGATCACAAGGATACAAGTCCACTGCCCATCAGATGGTAGAAAGTCTAGCGTTTTCTAGAATTCTTCCTACTATAACACTGGAATTATAGCAGACTGGCCATTGTCTAATAGAACGTAAATCTAACTCTACTGCATCACTAGAAAGACAGAATTAACCCTGTACTGGAGTAACTGTCACAAGCACTTAAGTATTTCAAAGATTTGGCCAGTTTCCTTTAAACACAGAATTTGTAAGTAATTTTACATCCTGGTGTGCTATTATAGAGCACATTTTTATGATTTCCTTTATATACTTTATGGAAAATTAGATTTGCCAAGGAAATCAAGTTCAATCAACCCTAGTTAACATATTTTACAGAAGGCTATACAAAATGCAAGCCCACATAATAAAATCACAACATACAGACCTAGTGAGAGATTAGGGCACACAGACTGAAAATGGGGGAGAATTAAGTGACTGTGTATCTCGTATTTCTTGCAATGCTCCAAACCTCAAATATCCTGTTCCTTCATTGCCAGAAACTATCAAAATAACTGGAGAAGTTCCATAACCAAGCAAGCTAGAATTCACAGTTGTCCTTTATATCTCAAAAAGTGGTGTAGAAGTCCTTATGAGAACACTCATTCTGCAGTTTTGATGCAGAATGTAAAAGTGGTAAAACTTCCAGTAAGCTAAAAAGCAAAATAAATTTCACAAAAGGAAACAATATTTCTCACTTAGTGACTAATCAAGCAGTGTCAGCCATCCAGGAGTTGGCCCATGGCTTTCCCCTGCTGAATGTCAGTGATCTCCAAGGACATTAATATTAGAAGAGCCTGTTAGGCCATGAAAATAGATCAAGACAAAAATCAAAATTATTCTGTATTCACATAGGACACAGGCAAAACCACAAGTGGCTTTCCCCTCCTTACACTCGTGCTATGCTCCAGGCACAGCCTTATCGCCATCTGGATCATCTTGCAGTCTAGTTACAAGATGTGAAGATTGTCACTCACAGAGCCTCTTGCTTTCTAAATATATTCAATCAAGAGAGGCAAAGAGTTACTTCCCCGGACTCTTCTGCTGATCCCTTCACATGAGACAGGAAAACGAACCTTTCCTAACATCTTCTAAGAGATCCTCCATTTCTGAGCCTGTATTCTTGATGTTTGTCATACTTAGTCAAGGGAAGCTACTCAAGCAATTTGACATTAATGCTACATATTAAAACCACAGAAGATGGAGCTTAGTATACGCACAAATATACCCCCAAATTAAAAATAAGAAAGGTTCACGTGAACAAAAGTACAAATATATCCACTACTGAAGAATACAAATATGTCAACTCCTGAGTGTAAAACTTCTTGAGATGACGAATAACATAATTTTAAATTTAAATTTGAAGCTTAACATAAATTGGAATGCTTCCATGGAACATTTAAATCAGTGCTTAGAAAGATGCATGCTTGCACGTTAGTAGAAAGAAGAGAAACGTAGCACTATTTGCCATTAAATAGATTGGTGACTAATAATGGTACCTATGTAGGTAAAGTCAGAGGATGTTATTATTTTTCTTAAAAGAATGCAGTTACCAGCTTGAGGCTGTACAACTCTGGAATCTTCAGATGTTTTAGATCCAGGTACCACCCGTGGCTCTTCACTTGAAGCTATATTAGAGAGAATCAGAAGGTGCTGAATGTATCTTGACAGACAGACTGCTGGGATAGGTAAGTGGGTGGGAAAAACTGCACTGCAAAGCTCCTATGAATCCAGTTGAGAGTCACTGCGTACACAGAAGTCAATGTGCACCCATCCAGACAGCAGACAACCAGCTAGATTATGCAGAAGTAACAGGCATGACTTTTGATGATGCTATACGAAATCTAATCAAATAATATTTTTATTTTCCTCTTCAACCAACCAACTACTGATTTCCCTGAGTTAACCAAGGGCATTACTGCATTTAGCTTCACAGAGAAAGGACTCTGTGCCTGTCTTCTATAGCCCTGATCAGCGCCTGCTTTATGTGATGCTTGTGATCAAGTCCAGGCCCCCATACATGGCAGGCCAGCATGCTGTCACTGAGCTACACCTACACCTCAGCCTATCATGCACATTCAAAGCATAAAAAAATTAAAAAAATAAATAAAAAGCACTTCAATTTACCCAAGGAACTCCCAGGTTTCTCCAATGGGAAGGCTGTTTTTGCCTCAGGAAACTCTGGGAACCCTTTTGGAGCTAGAATAAAACACAAGATAGTTACGGCATAAAAACAAAAAAGGTTTTTAAATGTTTCAAAGTTACTGAAACAACAAATACAAGTTAAAAAAACATTATCCATAGGTCAAGCAAATACCCAGTAGTCTTTTTTACTTCTGTTTCAATGAATGATAACTGCTTTTCTGAGACATCATGCAGCCTTGGCTGCCTTGGAATTCATGATACTCCTTGTCCGTGTTTTTTATGTTCAGTTATTATAGGATGGACCACCATGCCATCATTTTTTGGTATTTTATAATCAGGCCATCAAATAAGATGTTCAGGCTTTTTCATCTATATTTACTAGCTTTCTACAAGTTCTAGAAATACAGTCATTTATGTGTTCTTAGGTATAATTCAGTTTAATCCAAACAAAGTTCCAAACACATTGAACTAGGAAGCATCTGTGAGAGAGCTTTACAAATCATAAGACACCTATGTATATTTTCCTCCATTTTAATACTTCATTCATAAACAAATTCTAAGAATCCTAAGCAATCTATAGAAATACCTAATATATCTTATCTGTAAAGGTAATGCTAGAAGTGAATTACAAACACTGAAAAAAGATAAGATAACAATTTATTCAGTCTCATAGGATTCTGAGTGGAACAAAATAATAAAATAAAATGAAATAATGTCACCACCACCTAGAAAAACAACTTGTGGCTTTGTCATAGGAAAAGCCTCTTTAAGGCCCTAGATTACAAATGTTTAAAAATCACATTTAGGATATGGATGTTGAGAGTTCATTGTTCTGTCTTATTTGTCCCTCTTTTCTTGTGAGGAAAATTATTTTAATACAGTTGCCTCCAAGGATTTTAGTTAGTCATGCATAAAATGTCCAAAGGAGCATTCACTGATGCTGCATTGTTTGATGACTTTTACCTAAAGTGCTCAAGGACAATTCAAACTCAGGTATTAGAACAGAGCGTGCTGTTTCTGGCGTCTTCTCACTGAGAACTACAATAAAGAAGGACACGGTTAGCAATGTGCTGCTTTATAACAGACTAGCGTGCAGTGAGCAGTTCATGACTTTCATAGAAAGAGCTGGCTGTCCCTGGAAAAGTCATATAGCTGTTAACTGAGAGGTGTCTTTTAGGTCAGCCTCATACACGCACAGCCAAACACATGCCGTTCTCTTGCTTCAAGGGCAGAGAATGAAAAGCAAAGATACATTCTTTTGGGTAAAATAGCAGATAGAAACAGCAGTTACCACGAGCAACTGAAATTCTCATTAAATAGTGTGTCTCTTGGTGATTCTTCCCTAATTTAGTTGGCACGAGATTTCCCATAGCTGATCTGGGCAGAAATCCCTGAGACAGTCAAGATTTCCAGCAGCATTAGAGGCTGAAACGTCCACCCAATCCACAAGACAGTGGTCAAAAGGGCCATGCAGTTAATGCGCAGCATCCACACCTGCCTGTCCAGTGGGTCACCAGGATCAAGGCACAGTGCTACCTCTTCAGTAGAACTTGTCCAAGAAACGTGAATGTTAATTCCCAGAAAAAGAAAAGAAGGAAAGGGGAGAGAGAAGGGGTGTGGCAGGATAAATCAGTGTTAAACCTGTGAGCGCTGGGGTTTGTCATTATTGCTGTTCTGTTGTTGCGGGAGGGGAATGGATGCAGTTTTTAGTATTACCCAGTGCTGTGTCTGCAGTGTCTAAAGCGCTAGACAGGGTGGGCTTAGTACTTCTTGAAACTGTTTCTGGAGTCACTGAAAAGTAAACCATAAAACAACTTTATGAGCTAAGAGATGATAAACTAAGGAAGCTAACCAGACACTGCACACCTGTTGACAGCCTACATATCTTTTTAACTTCCCAGGGTGACCCAGGTACCTGGCTGCCTCTCCTCCCTGATCCACCCTTTCCAGGTTGGGTTCACCCAACTCTTCCCCATGAAGACATTATTCACAGCAATCTGAATGCTTTTTGTCTTCCTTTTCTTTATCTCCACAGCTTAGAGTGGTACCTATGATAAACAGGCTTATGGTAATTTAAGTGAATAAGTAAATAGGAAAAAAAGAGGTCCACGGTTAGATAAAACAACTATCCTGTTACTTGATTTCCTCTAAACCCCACAAATAACCAGCAGAGCCTAGGCCCAGGCTGAGTTGTGGTCAGTGTTCAAACGCTCAGCCTGAGAGTGGCGTTTTCTTTGAGCTGTTCCATTAAAGGTAATGAAGACTGTGGGTAGAAGATGTGGAGAAATAATAACCATGAACACTGAGATTTTAACATTCTAAAAACCCCAGAATTTTGCAGCAAGGACACATACTAAACAATACTGAATAATAAGCTCTGGGGATTGCCCAAGTATTTCTGAAGTGGAAAGTTCTGGGGAGAACTTGGCAGAAAGTTGGGAAATCTGAAGACTCTCATCAGACATCATGCCAAGAGAAGAAAGTGTAACTTGGAAGGCTGGGCAGAACGTTTGACACAGAAACAGACTCATTTAACCACTGGTCACGCCTGTACTTTTTTCTGTATTAACTGATCAAAGCCGGGCAGAACGTTTGACACAGAAATAGACTCTAACCACTGGTCACACCTGTACTTTTTTCTGTATTAACTGATTACATAAAAGTATATATATATATGTATATGTATATGTATATGTATATGTATATGTATATGTATATATGTATGTATGTATGTATGTATATATGTATATATGTATGTATGTATCAGCTTTGAATATTACACAAGCAGATTCTGCTGGTAGCTCAAATAATTTCTACCTCATCTTATAAAGGCCCATTTCTTATGGTAAGGTAATACTCTGTTGAGATATATTCTAGTTCAATCTGCTTCTTCAAGTTATTTTGTTACTGCACCAACCTTATGCTCTCTTGATCAGACACAAGCCCCAAAATTTAGTACAAGAGGAACACCACAAATACCTCACACTATAGAAATGTTATGAATGAAAAAGCTCACTTTTAATGAGAGTTCATTAACTAAGGGTGAGCTTCGGGAAATGCTTGGCCATTGTCTGTTTCATGAAATCCTGGATAAGATGGCATTACTCTGGCCAAAAGTCAGTACTTCTGAGACTAATGTCTCCCCAGAGAATTAGGCTGGGTAGATTTATTTGGAGAGCAGACATTGAATGTTTGGTAGTAACAATGATAAACTATGGGGACACTACTTCCCTCATGTTTGAAGGTTTTTGTTTTTATTTTTGTTTTCTTGAGCCAGACTGTATACAGTCTGTATAATAGGGTTATTAATCTATAGGAACATTTTTTCTAAATGATTTCAATGCATTTTCATTGCCATCATCATGGATTTATGAGGGCTATACGACACTTTGTTATGTTGATCACTTGTGAAACTAACCAGGCAATGAAAAATGGTCTATAGTACTCATACAAGAGGAGGAAAGGCCATGAAGCACTGTGTCACCCTTAGTGTAAACCCCCTCAGCTCTGAGGGCATCTTCAATCATAGTCAAAATCAGACCTCCCCTGCTACTTATTGTGTCCACAAAGGTTGCTCCATTTTCATCTGTTCTTTTTCCCGAGCTTAAAGCCCTAGAGTCTCCTATTGTTTTATGATCAAAATTAATTTCTTTTTTCATTCTTTACCTTTTTTAAAAAAAAGTTTATAGTTCACTATTTGAAACAATGTTACATCTTGTCTCAATAGCAGGACTATAGCTCATTCACTATTTGAAACAGTGTTGCATCCTTTCTCAATAGTATCTCCTTACCCGTTACTGGCTGCCCAGCCACTTTTTCAACCTCTGGGGTTTTAGATTCTGCTGGTAAACCCAATGTTTCATTCTTAGCTGGAAAAAAAAAAGAAAATCAATTTATTTCCTCATAGTACAGTGTTCAACATTACCTTATTGCAAACATAATCAACTATAAAATTTATTACAGAGTTATTTGAGTATTTTAAATGTATGAGCCTTTTGCCTGCATGTATGTATGTGTACCATGTGTGTGCCTGGTGCCCACTAAGGTCAGAAAAGGGACTGGAGGTACAGCTGGTTGTGAGCCATGATGTGGGTGCTGGAAATTGAACCAGTGGCAATAAGTAGTTATAAGTGCTTTTAACTACTGAGTCCATGGTTTCCTCAACAACAACAAAAATTTATTTATACACACCTCTTCCTGCAGCCAGTCCACTCTACCGTCCCAAGGGCTAGTATGACCAGAACACAGACTTCAAAGTTCTTCCCTATTAATCCTAGAATTTCTTTACGATCTTAATAGGAACAGGAATGACAGACTCACAATAGAATATTTGAATAAACGCCATCACCCAGCTTAAAGTTTCTGCAAGACATAGTTGGACCTGCAAATGTCCCTTTATTTTTATTCAAGAACAGCTAATTTTTTAAAAAGAACATCAATAGAGATTTTCCATTATTACAGATGGTTAAAAAATGTAACAGGTTATAACACAAATTTGAAACCCACAAATAAGAAACATAGGAAAATAAGTTTTATGGAAAAATGTGTGGCAAAAACACAATGAGAGTGAGTGGGCTTCAGTTGACATGCATGCTAACACATATCTTCTGATTCAGTTTCTGGGATTTTGGTGTAAAATAGAATTTTTTTTTGTTTTATTCAACTTTTGGGAAACCTGTCTTTTAAATCTTGGGTTTCTTAAAGAAATTCTAAATCAGAATTACACTCCTACTAGAAAAAAATTCTCCATTTTCAATCTGAAATCTCTCCAGCCATGTTCCCTGGGACACACTCATTCCCAGCTAGAAAATGATCTACTTTGTGTTCTCAAAGCTTTTTGAGAATGGAAATTTTGTAACCACCTATGGCTGGTTCCTCCGCTCTTTCAGAGTCTATTTATTTCCTTCTCTGAATTTAATGTGGACACAAATCTTTTTACTCCTTATGGACATGAAAGCAATCAGAAAACAGACACACATCGATTTCGGGTATTTCTGTAGACAGGTGCAGTGTGCTGGCCCACTGCTCTCGAGGGAGTGTCTACACAGCATGAGTACATCACGAAAATAGTCAACAACCTAATTCCGATCTCGTTACAAGGACAGAAAGAGCAAGAAGTCTGTCTGTAATGACTTTCATTTCAGCCTTTTATTTTATAAGCTTTTTCCCCTAATATTTACCAAGATTTTCCTTCTGGACCTCTTTCATAGTGACAGCTTTAAACCATTCTGATTGTTATCAAGTGGAGAATCATTTGGCTCACAAGCTTCCCAAGAGTTCTGCTCCACTTCTTTTCAATGCACTCCACAGGAAGATGAACTCTTCAAAAGTAATGTAAGGTCCCATCCAGTGTTCCCAACTCCATTAGGGGAGTTTTGTTGCCTTTTTCTCCTTAATAATATCCAATGGTCTTGATTTTGTTAACCTCTACCAGTCTAGGAAACCTAACTTTAGAACCGTTCCTCTCTCTGTCTGTGTCTCTGTTTCTCCATATCTATCTCTCTGTCCATCTGTCTCTCCATCTGCTCATGTCTCTGTCCCAATGTCATTCCTCTCTCTGTCTCTGTCCCCCCCTTTCTCTGTGTGTGTGTGTGTGTGTGTGCTTGTGTGTGTGCATGTGAGTGTGTGTCCCTTGTAGTCTCCCCTCCCTCAAGATCTTAGACCCTCAGTCAGGGACCAGAAACTGGATTGTTTCAGGTTCTTAGATTCAATAGCTGCCTTTAATTGACATCACCATCAACCTCAAACTTAATCACAAATTGGAAAACATGGCAAGCCATCTTCTCAAGATGTATTTGTATTCTTCATATAATGCTACTTTCTTATAAAGGCATATGGTAGGATACTTCTAAATATGGCACACCAGATATCTGAGTAGTTGAGAGATGGGGAATATATTTAGATGAGAGAATTCTAGCATCACTTTACAACCTGTGAGCATTTGTCTATATTATACAGATCTGCTATTTTGACAGAGAGTAAAACACTATCCAACTATGGCCTAAGCCTCAGCAACTCTTTTTCCTCCATTGTTTCTTTAATATTATTTTCAACACTGTTATTTCTCTTAACTTTTGGCATGGGGTGTCTTAGCTTTGGCAAATCCTTTGTAAGTCCCTTGGAGATGAGTGTGTGTAATACTGACTTCTCTTATTTATTTATTCACACCATGTGTTCTTAGAACAAAAGCTATTGCAGCTTTTGATGTCCCATGATGGGCTCTGCTGAAATGGGGTTATTATTTTTAGGACTTACTCCCTCCAAAAATACAACTCTTCTGAATTGCAGTGATAATTAACTTTGGGAAGTTTATTTCTCCCTTGGTAATACAAAAAAGTGTTTATTTCCATGCAATTTTGTGGAGGAAAAAGGGAGTTTTGCACAGCAAAACAATCAATTAACAAAATGAAAAGTTGCTTACAGATTGAAAGAAAACATCTGGAAGTTATGATTTATATATAGACTCAACTTATAAAATATGCAAATGTCCCCCATAACTTGGTAACATTTTATAGCACAATAGGATGATTGTGACTGACAGCAGTTAATGTGACATTTCAAAGTAGCAGCTAGAGAGGAGTTCTAATATTCTCAATACAAATTGCATATGTCTGAAGTGATAAGTATGCCAATTATCCTGAACTCTTCATTATACTTTATATATACGTATTGAACTATCACTCATACAAATGTATAATCACCACCAACTAAAACCAAAATAAGACCGGATATTCTAAAACTGCTAGAGGATAAAGAAGGAAGAACTTCAACATCTAGTCATAGATAAGGGCATTTTAGATAGAACACCACAAGAAACAAAAACCAACAAATAGGGACTCAGAAAACCCAGAAGCTTTTATACAGCAAACATAACTAAATAAATCAGCAAAGAGGCAGCACGCAGAATGTAAGAAAATATTTTTGATTTATACATCTTACAGAGAATTAGTGTCTAGAATACAAGGAACTAAAACAACAACAACAAAACAAAAACAAAAATCAACCCCTAAACATTAAGAAAAGATTCTAAGTAAAAATGGGCTAAACAGAGTTCTCAAAAGGAGAACCATTTAAAAAGTGTTCCAAAAACATCCTAGAGGATGGCTCACATAAGACTTGAGAGTTTAGATCCCTGAAACTTACTGATGCCATGTGGGCATGCATGGTGGCCCACCTATTGTTCTGCCCTCAGAAGGCAAAGACATGGGATCCCCAGAACAAGTTGGCAGGCAAGACAAACCAGAAAAGTAAGCTTATGTTTGATTAGGAAAACCCTGCTTCAGTGAATATTCTGTAAGGGTAATTCAGGATGATTTAAACATCAACCCCCCTCAGTCTTCCATGTGAACACATATACATATCTATGAGCATGCATACATATATGCCCACACATGCAAACAGACATACATTAACTCATATATACCACCTAACACACATGAAAATAGAAAAAAAGCCAACATCATTAGCCTCAAACTATCCTACTATTCTGTCTCATTTCCGTCTGAATGGCCATCATCTAAGTTTCAGATCTACCGCCAGAGGAACAACTTTGAGCCCAATCTGATAGTCAAATGTGGCTACCAGAATTGTCTTCTGTGCCTCATTGAAGGGGATTTTGCTAGTGTTTTCTTAGTCATACAAATTGTAGCCAATTCTTTCTAGAAGAAGGCAGCAATATCATTGTAAAGCATACAATTGTTCTTACATGTCTTTTATGTCAGTTCCCACTGAAAATACCTAATGGCTGCTCATAACAAAGTTCAGTGAGTAGAGTATAACTTAGGAAAAGTTCTCTACTTGAAAAGTATGCCTATTCAAATGGGTACATTTTGCATCCTGATGTCTATTCCTCTTCCATATGTATATGCATATGTATAAAATAGTGTTCCTTATAGAATGATTGATAGTAATATTTCTGACTCCCAACTTCCTCCTCCATACTCATTATTTTGCCCTCAAATGGCTCATCTGAAATATTCCTTACATAGTCGTAGTGCAGTATCATCCAATGCTAGTGTGTGCGTTGAAAATCCTTTGCTTACCCAATTGTGCCTTGAGAGCATCCGAAATCTCAAGCATTATGGATGAGGGAAGTTTCACGGTGGAATCATTAAGACCCGGAATAATAAGATGAACTGTAAGGAAATAGATATAAGTGTTATAGGAGGAAGAAAACGTATTAGACAAAAACAAACTATGGAGAATCATAAAGCAGAACCTATAGGTTGATACTTCCTTCCTGGTTAACTGTAACTCCACATAGAAATGCAGGAAAAAAAAGACTTCACCTTTTTTAAATAGAGTTTTTCAATATCTAGAATTCATCAACAGAAATGCCCTGGGTTCAAATTCACAGACTCAAAACTTTCCCATGGGCTATGGCTGTTTCCAACACATCCCTTTTTAACATGCCAAGATAAAGGCGGTGTCTCTTGGTTGGTAGCTTAGAATGGACACAACCAAGAGGTTAAAACAGCACAATGAAATGCCTGGACATTAATTTAGCACACTTGCTCATAGTATAAAACCCCCATTAGAATCATATTGTCAGAAGATAGCCTAGAGTGCCCATTCTAGATACACATTTTATGATGGACTTACCCAATATTGTTCCTCCGAAAGGAGTCTTGTCTGGGGATTTGGTTGAAGCCCTGTGGGTAACATTCTGAATCACTGGTGAAATATAAAAAAACAATAATACAGTAGGGATGAACACAGGAACCAATAGAAAGCTGACGGTGCAGAGCTACCATCCCTTCTATAGTCTTAATCTAAATGTATCAATTAAGAGAAGCAACTCAGTGGGGTTGGCTACAGAGTCAATAGAAGAATTAGGTATGTGTTACCTTACCATCCCTGCTTTTGTTAACAAAGGCTGTCTCATCATTCTAGCATAAAGTATCCCATGCTAAACACTGGAAAATTCTCTCTGTCTCTACTCTCTATGCATTCTGCCTTCTTCACAGAGCAAATAAGAACTAGCGTTAAATATTGCAATGTCAAGACAATATGAAATCAGAAAACTTGTATCTTCAAATAAAAGAATCTTTCAGTAATTCTAGCAGTAGCTGGTCCTGCCTTTAGTTTATACTTAGGACACTGTGTTTTCTTAAAAGGAAGAATTATTTTAAGGCTTTTAAGAGGATTTCTGTTGATGAGTTCTAGATATTGAAAAACTCTATTTAAAAAAGGTGCAGTCATTTTTTTTTTTACTATTATTTTAGCTCTTCTACCAACAGATTTTTTTTTCTGGAAATAATGGAGTCATTTTAATAATTTAAAAACTGGAAGCCAAAACAAAAGCAACTGAACACTGAAATGAAATACAGCATTGTAATTCTTAAAATGTGGACATCTTTACTTTCCCTAAGTGACCGCTAAATCAGAGTTTTTATCCTCAATATTCTGAACGGTCTACTAATTGTTTTCCTTGCATACGCTAACTTAATCCTAAGTAAAGATCCACATGTTTAACTATTATATTAAATATAACACATGATACAACTGCTTTGTTGCCCAAATGGTATGATTTTTATTTAATGTATTTCATATTGGTACCACAGACAAAATAATGTATGAACTGCAAAGTTACTAACTTACACTAATGTCTTCAAATGTTTTCCAAACATCATTGTTAGAAAAATTGAAAAAACAGACACAGCACAGTTATATTAGTTGAACAGACAACTACAATAGTTCCTGAATACACCAGACTAATTACCTTGCTTGATGATTGTTATTGGGATTAGCTTCCTTGGGACATATGCTGGCTGGAAAGAGAAAAAAGGTCAGCTTTTACATCAGTGTTAATTTAAAAAAATCAGAATTCTGAGACGAGTTTTTTCTTCAGTGAAATCACCCATGTCGGAGGTTTAACAGTCACTGGATAGATATTTATCATATATGTTTGTCTACATTGTATTGAACTCATTTGTTTCCCCTAGAGAAAGACAAAACTGCACAGAAGCAAGTCTCCAGAGCTCCCATTTACTTAGAAATTGCAGTAGAAAGAGATTAAGTCCTCTATAGAGAGTGAGCTCATTTGTATTTTGTTTGAGATATGGCCCAACCGAGCATCCTCTTCACCCTTTCTCTCAAAAGGATGCTGGGCCATCAAGGCTTGTAAAAGCAATCAAGTCAAATTATTTGAGCATGGCCTACTAGTGCTGCTGATACTGCAGATACTATGACCTCTGTGAGTTTTCAGCACCTCTGTTTATTGCCCAAGAGAGAAGAGTGACTTAGAACTAGATATTTCTTAAAATTGAACCTGAATTTAATCATTCTGCCACACCACCCTGATTTGTACATGGGGAACTCTGAATTTGAAGGTCATTACCCAGAGGATGAAATGGATAATACGCCTTTCCCTCACCCGAACTGTCTTCCAAGTCCCATGGGATTTTGATGTCACACTGTGCCTAGGGATAGGTTTAGACTCTAAAGTGGATTCACTGCCGGACACAATTTCATGGGCAAAGGTGAAGCAGCTGAGAGAGGTATGGAGAGAGGTGGTAATGAGAATGGCAGGAAGTCCAAATAGGAAGATTAGAGATGAGTTGTGAGTTGTTGAGAGTTAGAATGGCCGGTTTTAGGCACCTGGTTTAACTCGCGCACACAGAATCCATACAACATGTGCAGATCTACCTATTCTGAATGTACACTGAATGCAGGACACTAATAAAACAGACATTCACAGTTATGAGTAAAAGGGTATGATGACATGTTATTATTTTTCAGGATGGTATAAAACATGGTATAAAGGGGCCATAACCCCAACCTTACTCTTGGCTGTCTCTCTTCCTATGTTATGTTTAAGAACTGTAAAAGAATCTACTATCATTACTGGATACTTGTTTTTAAAGGATAATCTCTACCCATTGACCCAGTAATTTCTACTTTACTATGCCAGCACAAGTACTCAATCTGGTACAGATATGTGTGAGTACATATGTTACTATAACTGATAACAACTTCATTGCCCAAAGTTTGGGTTTTATTCAATAAGCTATAGTTCAAATGGTTTGCTTCTATTTAATATCCTGAAAAAATAAGAAGACTACAGGTATAAATTTAGACTCACACCATAACCAAATTTTATAATACATACACATATACATACATACATACAAACATACATATATACATACATACATACACATATACATATATACAGAAAACAGACTAGAAGGAAATACACCATAATTTTAGCAGTAGTTATTACAAGCTGACATAATTTTATGCATATACCTTTTTTTTGCAAAGTTCCTGGCACAAGTGTGTTACAATAGTTATATTCAGAGAAAGACGTCTTCATGTTACTTTGTCTGCCACATGTTTCCACACTGCAGCTTAGGCCACTGCTACTGGGGGACAGGGCAATGTTTGAAAAATAACATTGCCATAATTTTTCTCAGGCAAGAACAGGGAAACCATATGAATAGAAGGAACAAAGGAAACAAACCCTTATAGCAAAGAAAAAGAATATCAGCTATGAGCTCACACTGGCAGGAAGGTCCTTTCTGGCTTTATCACTGTGGCATTTCTACACAGTTCTCACTGAAGACGGGTCCCTGCCACTTTATGCTTCCCCACACCCACCTAACAACAGCTGGCCACTGTTCTGCTTGTACCTTTACCACCACTTCTAAGAATGTTTTTTTTTTTTTTTACATATGAACAGTTCATATTTGGGTTTCTTGAAATTTATGATTTTATATTTGTCTAAATGCATGCAATGCTTATGAAATACAGTGTGATGTTTTGACAAAGTTATACAGTGTGACCCATCCTTTTTTTATGGTAAGGAATTTGAAATGCACTTCAGTAAAATTTTATTGTTGCTTTCTACTGTTTGATCATTCTCAAGAACCTCTTCCTCCTGTCTAACTGAAACTTTAGCATGTCCTTCTTCCTCACTATCCCTCTTTCCACCCTTAGCCACCACAGTATTCTCTATATCCATGAGAGTAAGACCTCTGAGAATTCTGCATGCCTATTAGAGTAAGCTCTGGTTACAAGAAAGCCTCCTGAGTAGGAAACCAGATTATCTTTCTAGTACTAATAGGTCAGGTCTATAACTACAGTTAAAAAGACATCTATATATCCAACTTGTTTGCCCTAAGAATCCTATCATAGTATTCTGCACAATGTGACTGTTCTCAAAGACTGCTAACACACTATAGCAGAAATGTCTACATATGGCTGTGTTGATCAACTCTGAACTGAATTATACCAATTTACAGTTCTTATGTGACACTGATTTGTTTGAGATAAACCTTTTTTTGACAAATGGAAAATATTCCACTCATCACATGAATGGAACAAAGTTTCTGTTCTGAGTTCTTTCTTGAGTACTGACCAATGTTTTATTAAGCTGATGACAAGAATATAGGTACAGGGTGTGCTGCCAAAAATAAGGAAATGATTTAGCTGCAGAGTGCATTTCATTCTAGACCTGTAATTGCTCTCTTGCCTAAGCTGTAATCCAAAGACTAAGACTAGACCAGTGAACAAATATGTACATCTCCGAAGATAGATTTAAGGGGATCAAGAAAGTCCAGCTATTCAATGTCTACCAAAGACAAAAGTTCCAACCAGGAAACCCACACTGAATTCTTCCTCTGTGTCTTCTTATGAGGTAAAAGAAAACATCTGTCATCTAAAATCACTAGAAAACAAAACATAGTAATTCTTAAGATACCAAGATTTAATCAATTATAGCCCAATTTCGTTTGATTTTTATTTTCAATGCTTAAAAATAAACACTAGTACTACCCTCCCCTGTTTTCATAGGCTTGTTCCTATGAACACTGATGAATGGATGCTGGGCCAAGGGTATAGATAATATGGAACTAGGGTGTGGAGAGTGTGAGCCAGTGTTGTACTTTGGTTTGAATATATCTCTCAAACACATGTTAGAAACTTAACCTTCAGTATAACAGTATTTCCAGGCATAAACTACAGAAAGTGACTCAATCACGAGAGATCCTCTATCACTGGGGGGTGAGTTAACCAACAATTCTATGGGCTTTCTAATTGTCCTGCCTGGTTTCTTGTCAACTCAACACAGGCTAGTTATCTTAGAAGAGGAACCTCAACTGAGAAAATGCTCCTATCAGATTGCCTGTAGGCCAGTCTGTGGAGGCATTTTCTTGATTAATGACTAATGTGAATGGGCCCAGGGAATGGGGACAGTGCCATTCCTGGGTAAGTGATCTTGAGTTGTAAAAGAAAGCAGGCTGATCAAGTCATGGGGAGCAAGCATTCCTCAATGGCTTCTACTTCAGTTTCTGCCTCCAAGTTTCTCCTTGAGCCATTGCCCAACTTCCCTTGATGATAAACTATAATCTGTGAGGCAAAATAAACCCTTTACTTCCCAAACTGTTTGCGCTTGTGGTGTTTGCTACAATAGAAACTCAATGAAGAAACAAATAATATACTAAGCCTGCCTCACCTCCCTCTTTTCCTTTTGCTTCCTGTCATAGGATAACATACTGTGAAGGCTTTTACTAGGTGCCAGCTCCTTGGTCTTAGAGTTCCCTGTCTTTAGCATTATACATAGCATATTTATCTATGGTTGTACTCTCCAGCTATGTCAACTTGACACACAAACTAGAGTTATCTTAAAGAAGGAAACCTTAACTGAGAAAATGCCTCCGTAGGATCCAGCTGTAAGGCATTTTCTTAATAGTTACTGATGGGGAAAGGCTCAGCCCATTGTGGGTGATTCTATCCCTGGGCTGGTGGTCTTGGATTCTAGAAGAAAGCAGAATCCACAAGCCATGGGGCACTCACCAGGAAGCAACACTTCTCCATGGCCTGTGCACCAGCTCCTCCTTCCTGGTTCCTGCTTTGTTCTAAGTTCCTGCCCTGATTTCCTTTGGTGATGAACAGCAACGTGAAAGTATAAGCTGAATAAATCCTTTCCTCCGTAAGTTGCTTTTTGGTCATTGGTGGTTTTTTGCAGCAGTAGAAATGCCAAGACAATGGTCTTTATGAATTACCCAGGCTGTAGCATCTTCTTACAGCCATACAAAACAACGCAATAAGATACACATAGGTATGACTAGCACCCTAGCAATGACATTCTTAGGCAGTTTCTCTGCTGTATCGTTGTTCTGCAACTTGCTGACCCCTCAGCCTTGCTGTGACCTCTATCACTATTCCCTCTACAATTTCCATCCTCCTCACTTACAAATATTTTCTGAATGTTTATAACATAAAGGTAAGGATAACACTTACTGCTCTGTAAGAAATAAATTCTTTTCCTCAAAAATCCTGTCACTTTATAGACATCTCAGATTGCACTAACAGTGAATAGACTGATTAACCAGCGTGCTACACCTTGAGCAAGAAAATCACAGAGTACGAAGTTGGTGCTGCTCGGTGCAGAAATGACACTGGAATGGAAACGGAGAGCCAGTGGAGATAAACTGAGTGTGGGTCAGGGGGGGATTGTCGTGCTATTGTATTTTATCATGATTAGAGAAAGCCTATGATTGTGCAGAAATAAATACAACAGCAACAGCCACACAAGAAAAGAGTGTTAAATTCACTTTTTGCACTATATCAACTCTGTCCTAGACAGTACACTGAAAATGAGCTTTACTTCATATTCATGCGAATCAAAGTTTCTCCATTCGGCATTTTTGTGGCATCAGAGTGTCAATTGAGAATTTGACTTTATTCTCGGGCCCTGCAAACTTTCAACTGTTCATTTAGGAAGAAGCTAAAGGGAGTTTGAAATTTAATTGCAAGGACTCAAGAG